CTATAAGTAACTTTAAATTATAAACACAATATCAACTAGATATAAATTATAAACACAATATCAACTAGATAGAATATCAACTTAGTATCTTATTTACTCACCGATATCATTAAACGCCTTGCAATTTCAGTTATTGGTATGTTTTGCTCATGCAAAACAATGATTTCAGCCTTTTTAAATGTTGATAGGTGTTGGAACATCTTGTAAAAATAAAAATAACTTTGCACTCGAATATGAGTAGCGTAGCAATAAACTATGAAATCCTCATACATTGACAACTAAGAACGCAATTATTTTGTAAGTCGGGTGATTTGAAAAACTTGTTTTATATAGTCGGTAGTTTCTTCATAAGCGGGTAAAATAAAATTCCATGGTGGCCACAAACATTACAAATATACTCAGGTATCGAACCATTAAGAAAGCATAGTTATTACTTTTTTACTGTTTTTTATCTTATTTAAGTTGGTTGAAATGCATGAAGCAAATGAGATTATTCTAAATAATAAATAACTAGAACTAAATATAAATAAAAGATATTATAGGTATAAATAAATCTAAAGTATTTACTATTAAAATTAACATAAGATTTAGAAAAATAGGATAAGAAAAAAAAGAAAAGATTTAATTGTTTCAAATTTCAAATATTTGATAAATTAATACTAAAACAACATGTGAACGCCGGAATCGATCCGGCGGCACTTTACTTGACGACAACTGGAGGCGATAACCATTGCGCCAAGTGCGCTGTAGATGAGACCATCGAAATATTGTATATCATTCAGTAACATAAAAATACAATGAGAATGCACTATATTTATATAAGTATTGTATTGCTCGATCGTTCATTATTTTTGATTTCGATTTATTCAAAGTTTGTTATGAGTATTTTTATCTTTACTCTCGTTTTTATTTAAACTTATTTACTAAATTATTACGTATACCGACACAAAAATGATATTTAAATACCAAGATGTGTGTGATTGACGAATGTTTCTATACATATCTATTAATATGAAATTACCCACACATGTATATTGTGTAAATGATAGTAGTGTCGATGTGTGCTGCGAACTAATTAGCGGTGTTTTGTGTACATCGGTATAGCTACTTATGTATATAGGTTTAATAAATATTTTGTAGGCAACACAATGAATCATACTACTTTTTGATTTCTGTTTATGGTTTTTGAAGGTATTTTGGAATGTAGATAATTTTTTTAATAATTTCTACAAATCTGGATTTTTCTTATCATAATTTTATCAACATATGTAAGAGTAATATGTTTATTAAAGCAAATGACTCACTGTTACGATAACCATTTATAATAATATAGTTTTGTTATTTCTAATGTATTATTGTAATTTAGTTTTATTATTTTTAATGAAAGGGAATAAATGTATTCAAACTCAATTTTACTCATTCATTAAATGCCTGTTATTTTTAACATGCATAAAAAAACGCTTCAAATACAAAGTTTTTAGTTCCGCGAAAATTTATTAAATGTTCAAGTGTTTTTCGTGAAAAAAAGTTCATGTATCAGAAAAACTTTCACCATTCACACAGATTATTTGGAAGTATAAATAGTGCGGATATTCTCAATAGTTAAAAAGTTTTATTAAAGAAAAAAATATAAGTTGTTATTTTGCAACCTACTAAGTTACAAAATGTTATTTATTTTAGCTACTATAAAGTTTCCAGACATTGATCATTATTAATTTACTAAATAAAAAACTGTTTTTTTTACCTCGTCGATTACGATTTTATCAACCTCCCTCCAAATAATTGTGTACCTAATTTTTTAGGAAAAGATAAATAAACCTAATTATGTTCTATTATTACAAATTAACTTACGTTTTTATACAAATATAAATTCTTAGCAAACGTAAATAAAATATACTTATAAAAATTATAAGAATAAAATATTTCTTGTGGTAAACCACATAAAACAAAAATCACAAATCGCCCATCTAGATGCTGGAACAGATATCAATCAATCAATCATAATGCTGTCATCATATCAACGACAATATTTTCTGTTTGACACAAAAAGATCCTTAAAAAAGGTTTTATAAGGTAGGAAAGACTGTGGCATTGTAAGTGGTCTGACCAACCGACCATGTCAAATGATTATTCATGATATGACTTAGGACTTAGGGCACTTAGGGTACGAACACAAAAGTGCATCGCAAAAATGTACAAGAACTTGCGAATTGATTTGATCACGCAACTTACTATCTTCTCTTTACAAAATCTTCTTTGTTTCTTCTTCCTGTATCGGCTAAGCAATAACAGAAGTGCACACTTCTTTTTACGATCCATGTCACGACGATTTCAATTTAAAATACGTTTAGTATCTACCTACGGTTGACGGTCATTTTGAAAGATTGGTCACCCTGAGAGACGCCTTGTCGCACGAAATCGCATCGCAGCAATTCGCATCGTAATTTGCGAATCCCATCCCATCGCAGTTTTATGTACGAGCCCTTAATCACAGTCTCCGAATTATTATTTTTCATGAACTCTCATGTTTAGTACTTAAAACCTACTGTGTGCGTAAGTACATGCAGGTGTCCCTGAAGTCGACAAGGAAATGGCACCAAGTGATGGGCAAGGGTCCAACAGTTATCAGAGAAATATAAAAAAATCAAGTCATATAGTTTTTAAATTACAATGACTTATGTGTTATCCACGAAAAGTACACCCTGTCTTTTGACTGCTGTTGCTACAATTCTTTATTTTTTTGTCTGTATTTATGCTTGCGTTATTCTGAATAATACTCTAGTATTATGGAATCATAAATTCTGTGCCAACTGCTTCAGTTTGGAAGAGAAAGGCTTAGTTTGGAAAGACGACTTCAGGCTTCAGGGATACCCTGTATACTTATGTAACCGCTAATGTTTTTACTTTCAAAGTTCTCGATCTACATCTTTTTACTATCCGAATTCTTATTACTTGTTATATGTAATTGAAATTGTATCGAGTGAAATTAAGTATATTAAATTAAGTAAGCTATAAGTGCAACAGTAGATACCATGTAAAATGTTCTTATCCTTGTGCTCGGTTCGATCGACTATTACTTTTTCACCTTTGTTTGATAGCCCATAGCAGATTGTACACCTTACTCCATATCACCATATTGCGTTATAACGTCTACATACAATGTAAAATAGCTTCACTTTCATTTTTTTTTTGTTGACATTCAAAAGTGCCTTCCTGTGGACTTACTCCTGAATCCAATTCCAATCGATCGACATTGGTATTGTAAAATTTCGTTGTAAAAGTTTAAACATCAGCGCCTATTGCATCTGTATTGCGTGGGTATATAATGAACTAAATGGTATTGAGTTTGGTTTTATATTCCGTACTCTGAATGCTATTTTAACAGCTACAATATGGGTTGTATAGTTTGACATTGAATAATTATTGAGTTTTCATTGGATTGTAATTGCATTAACATTGAGATTGGTTTCGAGAGTAAGTACACAGGTATAATGGAAATGGTCTAATGAACTTTGACTTTGTTTTAGCAATTTGTCTATGAACTGTATTATTTTTTCAAGACTATTACGATGCCTATTATTTTACTCAAGGCTTCCTGTTTGGATACTTATAATAAGTATAGAAAAGGTATTACTTGTAGCATGGTGTACTCCCAAACTAAACGAGGTGTTCAAATGGAAGTAAGGAGATGCATAGGGGTAAACCGGGCACAGGTTCCTACCTATACCCACTTGGGTAGATAGGTATAACCGTATTACGTATACTAGGTATATTAATTAAAAATCGCGGGTTACTCACGTGAAAATACTAAGAAAAGCTGTACTGGTTTCGAACCCCAGAGGGGTTCTTCCTATTGGTGGTTCGAAACTAATAGAGCTTTTCGCAATATTTTCACGTGAGTCATGAAACCCCAATTTTTAATTAATTTAGCATTTATCACAATAGTTATTATAAAAACTAGTTATATTGTTAAGTAAGTTATTGGTTACATAATATGGGATATTAAATAAAAAGCCATTGTAGAATAGAATCAATTCAGTTTCTATTGTAATTATTATTTGGAAGACATCAATCAGTCCTATCTATTCAGCTTAGGAATTTAATCTTAAATGTAAGACGTTCACATAATTTTTCCCTACGTGATACATTGTTTCATCAATTTTAATTCTTAAGATATTTTCAGAATCCCTGCAAAATTATTTACGAACCGTATCTATGCCATTATGATTTGGTTAAAAAGATAAGATGTGTTAAATAAATCATTAGAAAAAACTGTCTGATGTCCGTCTCGTGGTTCCAAACTACGTTCTTGAGTTATAAATAGTGTCACTCACACGATTTTCTTTTATATTACAGACTAAATTTTTTTTCTCACTTTTTAATCCTTCCCTGGACTGTTCAAGACCAAATTCAGCCAAATCGGTTCAGCCGTTCTCCAGTTTTAGCGAGAGTAACGAACGGAAATTAATTTTTATTTATACATATGGATAAATTAATTCACATTGACCATAACAATTCATAGTTATGGATAAATTATCATTTGTGCATTTATATGCGTATAAAATTGTGCATCCTACACATGTAGAAACTTCAACATCTGAATAAGTAAAACTATATGTATAAGCATCAGCATATGAATTAAAACAATTGTATACATCGTATTACAATAATAAATATGTCTCAATACAACCAACGTCATGAAATAGATACCTATAACACGTTAAGTTAAAATACATAAGACATTACAAAATAACAATCATAATAAATACAATACATATGTACATTAGGTACATACATAATTATAAGTGGCAGCAGTGCAGGGCAAATTTTTACCATTAATATAAAATATTTGGTTACGTTAGATTCATTCACAATAAAATGCATACTTATTAAAATCGTATTTCAATACATCCTTTTTTTCACAGTTGCATCGAAGTTGCAGTGCCAAAGCTAAATTATTATAAAACATAATATCTATTTCCTTAATATTTTTGATTGGATACTTAATTGAATAAAAACTAATAGAAAAATAAAATTACTTATGGCACGTAAAAATATAGGTAATACTTAGATATCTAATTATACTTTCAATGTATAAGTAATTTGTGATTCTCACAATGAAATATAAATAGATATCTATATATACGTAGATTTATACGTAGTTATGCAATAAAATTACTGAAATAATTATTAATCTTACTGCAAAACAGACTAAAGCCATCCTACTTCAACTGCCTCAAAGATTTCCTAAGAATTTCCAAAAAGATCTCAGCGTGTTTCGGTTCGAAAATAAGAGCAGGTCGAAGGCGAATTGTACATATTCCACACGAACCTCCGAGCACACCTGTAAATACAAATAGAAAACATTAATGTAACTTTTAAGTTAATTACAGATCCCATTAAAGATACCCTTTCAAATCCGTTACTAACATACGACACCTAAATAAACCCAGCCCAAAGTCTCTAATAAAGTTTATAGCGGTCAAATGGTCACGTCTGTTTAAAGAAATTATATTTATTAATTGAGCCAAAACGTGCTTCCGCTGCTGTAAGTTGATGAGTACTTGAGGATAATATATGTTGCAGTCATAGATCCATTACTAATTAACATATTTTGGCGATAGTGTGAATACTGTCAAATTTAACAGGATATGAAACGAAATAATACACTTTTATCAATCATAATTTTGTGTTAGACATTAAAAATATATTTGTAAGATACACGCGTATCAACTTGAAAATAATATATAATTTACCATTTTGTTTCAAAGTTTTGACAATCTTATCCTGTAATTCCGGTGTGGCGGCGTCGAATGCCAAAAATGTGCCTCGACCACGTACGCTGTTTATCATAAAGGGAAATTCGGTTTCTAGAGCGTGCAGGCCACTTTTAAGAACCTTTCCTGTCTCTTCGACTAATTGTAGAAGTCTTTCAGTTTTCATTACTTTGATAACTTGTTCCAACATAACCAACTTCGATGGATCTCCCATCCACGTGTTGAAAATTCTTAACGGTTGTGGTGACCTGGCGAAAAGTAAAAATATATAGTTAAATATTTGAAGACTTCAATACTTACTTTTGCTAGTGCTCATGCTTATTCTTTTCATTTTATCGCGATTGATTTTTTATTAAAATCACCATTTAATGATTCGTAACAGTAACAATCCAAAACGTAATAAAATAAAATTAAAGAAAGCTATCTAGTTTGGGATGCCTATTTTATTTTACTTCTGTAAAATAGTGTAACTAAAACTTACAGATATTCCGGCTTGAAATAAAATCCTCCAGTCAACATTTTCTTGCTGAATGTGACCAAGTCAGGCGGTGATGGCAAGTTGAAATGTTCGTGACACCACATTTTGCCTGTCGGTCCACATCCAGTCTGGACTTCATCTATGATCAAGGCCGCTCCTCTCTGTGGCAAGAACAAAAGAAAAGTGGTCATTACAGATACATAACGATATAAGCCACTCTCAGTGGCGTGCAGTCCATATAAGCAAAAAGACTATGCCTACCTTACAAATACCTACCGTGTGTAATATTACGTAATAAATTTAATTTTACTACAGAATACAAAAATAATAATTAAAATAAAAGTAGTAAACGCCTAAAATAAAAATATAGCAACAATGGTGTCACACGGCGCGTACGCATTTCGTCATACGCGATACGTGTTGCATTGCATTTCATCAGGCGTACAGTATATTGCTGTAAACATTGACGAGCGAGACAGGTACGCGGTTCCGTTGCCTCCAATCCATTCATAAATTTATGCGTTAAGTGGTGAACGTCATTGTGGGCGTAGTGTACAGACTCCAGCCCGCGCGCAAGCTATTTGAGCGCCTGCGTGCAAATGCCGATTATGCGCCCCTCTTTTTGTTGAGTGGGTAAGTAGGTAAGGTAAGTTATCAAATGTCTCTTGAGGAAGTGACTCATACAACTCTTACTAACTAAAAACCCCTCCATTACTTTCAAAACTTGCTTAAAGCCAAGGCCTCAGTACCCATATGACAACCACCTAACCTCCAGCAAGGCAACAATCCTGGTGGGCCCAGTCTATGGTGGTCTAATGGCTCTTTGAGGCCTGCATTTTACGCGACACACCGTACGACCGGGTTTGGTACTTATCAGGTGTTGAGCTATCCTTGCTTGCCGTCCGCAGACGCGCGCTTACGGTGGACGGAGATCCCAACAACGCGACGCGATACTACACCCAAAGCGTCTCCTGCTACCTCTCTAAAATAATGGAGGATACTCGATAGATTTTGAGTAATTTTAGAAAGTGATCGAGGACTAGAGGGCACTCGATGTTTTTCGAGGACGCTCGATGGTTTTCGAGACCCTCTCGAAAGTGATCGAGGACGCTCGGTAGATTTCGAGGATGCTCGAAAGAGATCGAGGCACGCGATGGTTTTCGAGGACGTTCAATGCTTTTCGAGTAACTCGTAATTTCGAATAAATTACAACGAGAGATGGCACGTCCTAAAAACGAGAGATGGTAGGTACTGTTACAAAGATTTGACAAAGGAATAAAAAACCTCACAGCTTGAATTATGTTATGTATTTACGATGAGTTTAATCATAATATAATATTATGTTGCCTTCCCTGTTTTGAAAACCTGTGCACGCCACGGACACTCTTATAATTTATCTTAATACGAATGTTTCAAATTTTCATCATCATATCAGCCAGTCAGCCACAAGACGTCTACTGCTAAACATATCCCCCAAAGACTTCCAAACAAGTGTATTATTACTTATTTATTTACTTACATACACATGTTAGTTGCATACCAACAGACAACCGTCTATGCTTACCCTTTATACCCCTATGTATACACGACCACAATTTTCCAGACCCCTTGATAATATGAAAGCTTAAAAAATTCGATAAACTTTGATGCCTTGCCACGACAACTCTATCAACTACGTGGTCTATCAAATGTAAATAAAAGCGTGTAACAATAAACTACAAACAAAGATGAAAAGTATAAATTAGTAGCTAGTGTAGCTACCTACGGTCAAATTGAGAACCTCCTTCTTTTTGTGGAGTCGGTTAAAAAGATTATGTTATGTTTACGTTATGAAGACGTTAAATAATAATTAATGAACAAAACTTACTCGTTTACATATTTTTTGCAATTCTTGGAAAAACTCCGGTGAAGCATGGTTATCACCGCCTTCTGCCTGAATGGGTTCAATGATAACGCCAGCAATAGGCCTTTTCTTTTCCCACCTGTCAAATTGTTCTTCAACATCTGCGAGACACCTTAAATAAATGCTCCAAATTATTATTACAGTTTGAGGCGGTACTACACAAAAATATGTGAATTGCACCTTTAACAGCATAATATGGAAATTATCATATTTTTAAAGTACCGATATGCACGACCGAATAAACGCTCAACTCAATAATTTTACACATTAGGATAAAAAAGTCTTACTCTTTATCTTGCTGTTCATTTTCACGTCTAAACTCTTCTAAAGGATATTTATATTCTGGAAATCTAGCAACTGGCCATTCAAAACTTGGGAAGTCCAGTTTATGAATAGCTTTCGACTTTGTAGTCGCCAAAGATCCAAATGTACGTCCATGGAAAGCGCCACTACTATTAAGACCCTGAAAATGATAAAAGTCTCTTTAAATCAAATATATATAATATTATCATATCCGTGCTTTATATACAATCTTTAATTTAGGGACATACATGAAGTCAGAAATTCTGCATAATCGTGTGTAGGTACTTTTAATCCTCTTTCGAAGGTTCACCAACATTTTTAAAATAGAATTTATACGTTGTGATTAAAGTTACGCTACCCAGGAGAAAGGAGGTTGTTATCTTAATTTAGATTATAATTATATATTATTGTATAGATTGAACTATCAAAGAAAATCTAAAATGTCGCCTATACAGAAAGACGATTCTATATACAGATTTAGTTATTTTACGCGTCTGTATTCCAACGGAAGTAACGCCTATTGAACCATTTGATCTAGTTGAAGCGTATTCGAGATCGACTAGCACAAAGGGGACATAAGTAGAATAAGGCCAACACAATATCAACACATCTAATAGTGGCATGAGAGTTGTTTTTAATAATGCTACAAGAACAACATTTTTTTTAAGCCGTCACTGATGTATTTTACAAGTTCTTACATACTTAGAACGAATTGTAATTAGATTCACTGATAAAGGTGGGAAGTTGGAATAGGTATTGATATAGTTTAAAAACTTGTCAAATTATTCACTTCCATAGAAGTATAATGTAAAAAAAAGAAGCGAACAAAATTTTCTGTTATTTTCCCACATTATCTTTAAGAAAACTTAAAACAATGATTAGACACTGTGGCTATGCAAATACAAAGACACCTAAGTGTATCTAGCGTAAGAATTGATTGATTACACTAAAAGCCTGTATTATTCATTAATCGATATAGAAAGGATAGTACCTGTATAACAATAGTAGACATACGGAGAAATAAAACGTACCTAAAAGTTAGACATAGTACACAAAGTTAGTAGCTACCTATTTAATATTCCACAAGATAATGATACACAATACAGACAGTTTTAGTGGATAAATACCGTTGCCAAATTGTTTGTATAAGACGTGCTGAATATTTTTAAATTTCACTAACAGATAGGTACCGTACTGAGAATACATAATAAAAGTATAGAATACCGATGAGCTCAAATTTCACTTGTAGGACAATGTACTCACTTAGTATTCTCAGTGTATGAAACTAAAAGCTTTGATCAATAACAAAAATATTTTTTTAATGAAAGTAAAAAAACTGTCCTTCAAGACTTCCACCTACAGAAATAAATTACATGAAAGAATACTTGTTTGTTAACCAAATAATCAATTCAAAATTCTAAAATTAGCTTATAAACATTAATCCGAGGATATGTTTAGTGACCGCTGACCATGAAGCGGTCGTCGTCGGGCCATTCATGTTCGGGTGTTTTGTTTTGTCATTGACATTCAACGACACTACGTCCGAAACAGTTTAACGAACCCGTCGAAGTCTTGATCTAACATTTTGTTTCCTACACTAATCTTGACTATACTCAGGTAAAACCATTTACAATAATAATATTATTAGGTACTTTATAGAAAATAATAATTCAACGAACTTTTACAGGTACTATCCCATTACATATTTAAACAAATAGATTGATATTTTATGATACCAAACCTCGTCGTGATAAGCGTTGCATTCAATTCCTTTTTCCTTACTCAAATAACTTTTAGTAAACTTTTCAACATATTTGTGAATTAGTTCAACCTTAGGTTCACTTATTTATTGTAAGCAAGTAAACGATACTTACCTTGAACGACATAATTGATAAATCTGGAGCTCCTGGAGGAATATTTAGAAGTGCTGTTTTCATTTCTTCGTCCGTAAATGTTGTTTTGCCACCACGTTTTCTTGTACAATATAATATGAAAGCAGCTTTGAACGCATTTTCATTAGAGCAAGCCCCACACATCATGGTCATGACGTGCTTCAAGCCTGGTGGTGCGACTGATAATAGAACATCTCGCAATTTTTTAGGCCAGTCGTCTGAAGGAAATACTCCAAGAGCAGGACGATTTACCAAAGCTCTCTGAAAAATATATTTATGAATTTAATAAATCTTTTTCATGTATGTACGTAGTTAGTTTTACGTAAGTACTTATTTGCTTTTCAAGCACTTTTATGATATCCTGTATGTAATATAAATGAAATATTTTTATTGAAAAACACTTGATGTGGAATACGTGAAATTACATCTTGCATAATTATTAAATTACTAACCACTTCACTATCACTGCGGAATGCATTTAAAAGCGCCGGATGATTGTACCCAAGAGGTATAGAAGATATTTGCGTGTAAACATCCAAAAAGAGATTGCCATCTGCGTCCGCAAAGTAATTGCCAGCAGATTTTTCAAGATTTGCAAAGAGTTGCACTGATCCACATTGCTGAAACAATAAAATGTATGTTTAGTATGAACGTATCCAGCCAAAAATTTATCATACCTACCTATTAAATAAAAAATAATGCCATTGAATTTTAATATGACTGAGACGATAAACATGATTTTTTAACTCATAAGAGGTATAAGTTACCTACCTCTAACTTTTTGATAAGATAAAATTCGCGCAGGTGCGTACCTAAATATTTAATATTGTAAATATATCGCGGGTGTCAATAACCGTACCTTCGTCCTACATTTAAAGTCCCCATGCAAACCAATGAAATCGAATGCCTAAGTATGACGCAGAATGTAGTGCCTCGATACATCGGCACTAAATTACTCAAGAGCAGGCAAGTACCTACATCCAACGATTGGGTCTATTAAAAGACAATTGAATATTTAGGTACCTATAATTTACAACTCGCATTCAAACACTGGAAGCGACGAAGGACAATTTAATGTTTGGCTCTTAGAAGGAAAACAATACAATTACTAATATTTTGTCAATAACACTATTATGGACAATATCACATTAATTGACAATACTTTGAAACTATAGGAACTATAGGAAGTTATATACCTCATTATTCAGTGGTCAAGTAAAAAATATTGTAAGTTCATAAATATTAAAATCGTAGTTTGAGGTATTTTTGTACAATAAGGGGATAAATGAAGGTTAATGTTTGAATTCAAAACCTTTGATTGCCTGACTATGAATATCGTTGGCCAAAGTAAAAACGAAACCGTTTCATCATATCGCATGTCGCATCTTATTTGCAAAAAAGGAAACTTTTTATTGCTATTTATTTGAATAGGCTCTCAAACATTTTACGCTATCAGACAAGTAACGTGGTAATGTTAAGGTATATGAACTTATCGAGCAATCAAGGAGAATTGCTCAAAGTGTTAACTGTTTACAGTGCTGAATTCTCACATTAATGTAAATATTATTATTAGCACCACATTAAAGTTCCCATAAATTGCTATCAAGTACCATGTTACTTGTCTGATAGCGTAAAATGTTTGAGAGCCTATTCAAATAAACAATATCTGCCCCCACTCATTGCGATTTAGCATCGCATGATAACAAATACGACCTTCGATGTAGGTTTAACTAGGTACCTACCTCCGAAATTCGTTTCTAATTTACAAAACATACAGGGGCGTAGCTAGCGCCATATCTGCCGTACCTGAATCCCAACGATCCTCAAACTCCTAATTCCCAAAACACCGGTAACGCACTTGTAACGCCTGTGGTGTTCCAGGTGTCCATTACCATCCGATGTGATCCGTCTACTCGTTTACCGGCTTATGCCATAAAAAAAGGTTTCTTAGGGTTCAGCAAGGCGCATGCCCTAAGTGTTGCAAGCGTACATAGGCCACGGTAACTGCTTACCATCAGGTGGGCCGTATGCCTTTTTGCCACCGTCGTGGTATAAAAAAAAAGTTTATCGACTTTCACACAATGATTAGGTAGTATTTTCTTATCTTATTGGTGCAGTGTCTACGGATTTAAGACCCGCAATTTTTATCCATAAAGATAAATTATCTCTATAGATAAAAATTGTTATGTGCATTAAAATGCATTTGCACATAATATTTTGCTTTAAGATTATAATTTCTATAAATACATACTTTTAGTATGATACGACTGTCTGTATGTAAGTAAGTAAGTAAATACATATTGTATAGTAACATGTAGGTACCTGATGTAGTCATTAACCGCGTTTTATTGCAACATTTTAGCAGGGTCAAAGTAAAGCAACTTCGTAAGTAAATACAAACATTGTCTGTGAAATGATGTGTGTTCCTAGACCGTGAAATGATGACCTAATGGTGTTTTTCGGGCATATTGTCACTCATCTAGGAATAATATGATTTAGGTTTTACATTTCCAAAAGTATTAACTAACCTATCTGTATGTCGCGGAGAACCTAACGGGTACCGGGGCTTCGGCTTGACGTGCAGAAGGAACGGGGTGGTTTTTAGTCAGTAAGAGTCTGACACTCCCTCCCGCCTCACCCAGGCGGGAGCAGTCATTCGATCATTTACCCCCCTTAAAAAAAACCTATGTATGCATTCCACTATTTCTGTTTTTGTTTATCTTTTAACCTTTAAATTATTATTTATTTATTTATTTATCGATTTATATTATAAATTAGATACTAGTTGTAAGTGCAACGTCGTTGCATTTTTCTAAAATAAAAGTAGCCTATGTTACACCTACCTGAAAATTTTGTACATAAAATCCCGTCAAAATCGGTCCATCCATTACAGAAATTCGCCAGTACAAACAGACAGACAAACAAATTGTAAAAAGTGTTATTTTGGTCAATAAGTTGAACTTAAAGTTCTAGGAGACCTAAGACGTATTAAATTAATAGGTAAATAATTATGTTGATTCACGTACTTGAATATCCATCATTTCTTTTAAGAGTTGTTTTGATTTTGGTCCGGGGATTTCTGTCTTTATCAGAGGACCTGGCGGTTCCTGGTGCACCGTAGAATATGAAGTCCCATAGTTCCGACATTCTGTTGAAGAAAAAAGTTTAGGCTGTAAATCTAAACATCGCCGTACTGTGCCGTAGGTACGCAAAGATTTTCTTAGACCAGGGACATGGTGACAAAGTAGAGTAACCTACTGGTGGTACCGGTGCTATTCAGTAGTATAACCCTTCGTCCCGTAGTTTCACCATAATTTTAAATCAACTAGTTCGGCTATATATGTAGATAAATCATTGTTTTTTTTTTCATGACAGGGCAAAGAAAAATTGTCCTTTGCTGGAAATCTCATATTTGTTATTGGTGGTAAAATATCCGATATTAAGTCAAATTTCAGCTAAATAATATTAGGTATTAAGATAAATAAAGGAACCTGTACATTACATGACAAAAAGATTTTAACTTTGTCATAAGTAAATACTTACACCCCATCTCATTTGCGCAAAAAAAATATTATCTACACATATTACATTAAAACAGCATACCTTTTGCAAAAAGTGTCGGTAGAAATGTCTTGTTCCTTAAAATGTAGCTGATGTCGCGTCGCAGCATCTTGGAAGAAATAACTCTTCAAGTCACTACTAGCTGTAACTGCAAAATCTATCCCGTTTGCAATATTATATGAAAATCTCTAAAATGTCATACTACGGCGAGGACGTCGTACTTTGCTAACGGAGCGTATCCGTTTGCGCCGTCGCGTCGTGTGGGGGGAGTAAACCTATGTAGTGATTATGGATGGGTTCTGCGGAGGCGAGCTGCGCAGTCGCGTGGTCGCGGTGTGCAAACTAAACATCTATATAGGTACCTACAAACATTATTATATACCAACGTACGTTCGTAAACAATCGAAGTTAATAATACAATAGTGATGTATAGTAAAATTAATGTGTTGTTTATGAAATTGACCTACACATATTGTCTTTACTAGCATGTATCCACGTAGATATTACGATTTTTTATTGTATCTAAGTAGGTACTAATAAACACAAAATGTAAATCTTGTTGTCTATCGCATGTGTTGAGAAATTAACATTGCAATGACATTAAACTTTATCTACCGTATCTCACGGCTCACTTGTGTACCTACCTATAATACCTATCAATCTACCTACAGGCTATCAATCACCAAAAAAAATATTTACATTACGATGACAAATGAAAGTAGTAGGTACGAGGCCGTAGTTGGTGTAGATCATATTAGCAAAAAAAACTTAATGACTTCTATTTTATTATTATTTTATTTTTAGTAGCAGCCTCGGAGAGGATGGTGAACAAAAATGTATGGGCCACGCACCCACATTCGCCACAGCTCTAACTACTTCTGTTTGGAAGCGATTACATCCATGGTTCACTGTAACAAAGCTCATTAAATTCTGTTCCGGGTTGTTCTACATAACATGTTTTTATGAGTTTGTCAAATGACAATAAAAATAAAAACCTATGAACACAGAGTAGCATGGTAAGTAAAGCCTAATTCTATATTCTATCTAATTATCACTAGGTTTTTTAAATTGGCGCCATTTTTCGGACAGCTTTCATTGGCCAGACCAGATGGGCCAATGGATGATTGTTATGGGTCAGACTAACCATTTGCTACAGAAGTACTAATATTTTCTTTAAGGAATTAATTAAAAATAAGAAATTTTGATACAATTATTAACCTTGCTTTTTATATTATAGTTATGAAGTAATGCATTATACCCATAGATTTATAAATATAAGTGATTGTACCGCCTATTTTTCGCCTATTAGTAATAAAGACGAACCATAGATTTAGTCGAGTATGGCTTAAAAACGAATTGTCAATTTATATTTTGCAGTTGCTACAACACTATCTGACATTTAATAAATAGTGACAGTGCCATTTCCATTTGAAACATTTGAAAGACAAAGCAAACAAATCAACATTGTATTGAATAACATTTTGAATCGCCATTAGTTTATTTCATCTTTGTCTTAGTTCCTGTTGTATTTTTTTGTGTTTGAAATATATTGACTAGAATTGCACTCATGTTAGCATCTTTAAAAAAAGCTTTAAAATGGAATACATCCAAATCACTAGAAAACAAAAACACTCAAACATCACTTTTACTGGCAGCATTTCTTGGTTTACTTGAAAATGTTTTATTTTGGAAGAAAATGTGGATGTCTTTATTATTTATTTTTCTCCTGAATATTATATTTCTGTAAGTGTTAACCTAATAAATTGCTTTTAGTATTCTAATATTTGTAAAGTACTATAATTGTTTTTTTTTTTAACAGTGTAAGTGTTCATCAACAAGTCAACCTTTTAGAATTCATTTTAATTTCATGCACGGCAGTAGTAAGCATTGATGCATTTGAAAGCTGGCTTAAATATAAACACAGAACTGGATGTTTAAAAAAGTTGTCTGGCCATGGAGATCAAATAACTTCGGTGATGTTAGAATTCAAACTATGGCTCAAGAATAGATGGAATGAATTCTTGTATTTAAGAGAAACTAATCATACTAAAGTAAGTATTTATTTTATTATAACAATAACTTGGGAAATGCAAAATATTTATTTAATGATATATTATTTGTAATGCAAATAGCATTAAAATTATGTACTCAGTTGTTATAATTAACAAAATAAAAGACGAGAAGAATTTGTGTGATGGTGACCACTGACCAGTCAGTACCTCAACAAGCCTCTAGAGCACCCCTAGGAGTAGGAAGTCTAAGCTTATAGGTATATAGACAGCTCTAGCAACACTAATTGTGCACTAATGGTACTATTATCAGTTACCATTCATTTTACTTCTGATAGATATGACAATTATTAAATATCATTTCAATTTATAATAGCTTTTTTATCTTTATTCTAATTTTATGCTCATGTTTTAAACCAGAATGTTTGCTCTACAAAAGCCAGACTATCAGCTGCCTATATATTATGTCTTCATCTTTCCCGTTACAATTTCACAATATCTAATAAAATTTCTGTTAGCTCAACTGACACATACTAAATCAATACATAGTATAAAACAAAGTCGCTTTCGCTGTATGTCCGTATGTATGCTTAGATCTTTAAAACTACGCAACGGATTTTGATGCGGTTTTTTTTAATAGATAGAGTGATTCTTAAGGAAGGTTTGTATGTATAATACATGCATATTGCACCCGTGCGAAGCCGGGGCGGGTCGCTAGTGTGATAATAAGTATCAGTTATTATTTAATAGAAACTAGATAATACCACGGAACAGCTGTAATAATTGAATATTGTGATTGCTTTTTTCGGCTTACTCATGTAATTATTTGATGAAGAATTTGACTAGTTTTAAGCCATGCCAGATGCTCATATTCATGAGCAGCATTCTGCAACCAGTGACGCGGCGACTGTCGCACTACTACTACCACAGTAATTAACTTTGTATGTCTCACGAAAGTTATAATATATATATTTAAATATATATTCTAGTTGCTTAAAATGTCTATATTACAACCTTTTCTGTTCCAGGCTTTCCTTTTAATCAACATATTCCTGATAATAACTTTTCTCACTGGAAAATACATTAGCGGCTATATACTAATATACATCTTATTAATGTCAATATGTCTATTTTATAAAGTAATATTACCTATTATTAAAATATGCAAGAATATGAGACAAGACTTTGGTAACGAACTCATTTTCGTATTTTAGTTTATTAGAATTTGAGTACCTAGTTTACTTTATGTAATACTTTTGTTTTTTTTTTTCATTTTCAGAATCTGACTTTGAATTGGAAGGTCTTATTCCAGAAGCATCTGAAGTTGACATTAAACTGTTATCTATTGAACCTGATCCAGTTCCAGTAATGGATGAAAGACAAATTTATGGTAATTCTTTTGAATTTGAGTTTAACAGATTTACCTATTAGTATAGATAGAATCGGGATCAATAATTAATTAGACATGATATGTATAAAGTGTACTAATTTCTTGTTCAGAAATTGTATTTACAATAAGCTAACAAAAACAATATTAGATTAAAATTTATTACAGTTGTGCAGTTTAATGTATAATGTAATATACTTGAATTAAAAGATCATTTCCTGATAACATTTTTAATGTATATGAACAGATTATTGGAAACCAGAAGATGTGCCATTGGCAGAATGCAGTGACAGTTCTGAGAACAGCAGCTCATTAGTTACAAATTTTTCTATGGAGAAAATGCAAACTCTGGATAAAGATGTTGATTCTTCTGACACCAGTGAAGATGACTACATTCCTTTAGGCAAGTTCAATGGATGATTATTTAATAAATGGTGACGAAGAATGAATGGAAACTTAAGAAACTGTAAGATTCTAATACAATGTCAGCATGTGTCAACAAATACAGAATTAAAAAGGATATCTAGGAAGACAACTTTATTTGTATATAACAAGTCTATTTATAACAAGTCATACAGGTTTAAACGATTAAATTATTTTTTATTATTTTAGACCAGCTGAAACCAAAACAAAAGGTGAAATCTACACTAGAAGTAGTAGAACCAACCAAAACATGGAGCTCTACTGCCTACAACACATTTTGGAATATTACTGGAGCTGTGGCAAATATGATACAACCAGAATCTAGCACAACTAAAAGGAATCGACTCTCAAGTATAGATTCTTCTGATGGTTTTGAGATGATCGACAAAAATGACTTATCTTAACAAATAAAACAATTAATGTAGACATAAAAAGTAATTTTAATAAGCAGACATATTTATTGTGTTAACAGTGTTTTACGTTTTATTATATTTCACTTCTTTATTTTTGGAATATTGCTATTGTAATTTATATGTATTGTAAAATTACCTAAAAAAAGTAAGGGTAAAGGGGTGGAAGTAACACCATCGAAAAAGATTACCAAACTTTTCCAAAAATGTAAATACAAATAGAACTGATTTACATTGGTGATCCAATTATAATACCTTACAGGTTTAACCTTTTGACCGACATTTTAAAAAAGCAGACACTCACCCACAGTGCTAAGCTAAGAATCCATGCTCAAATAGTTTTTTAGAATTTGTCTAAGTTTTGGTCATCTAAAGTAAATATAGACGAATTATATTTGTGGGAAATATGGCAAAGCCATGCTTTAGCACGAATGGGCCGGCTCGACCGGAGCGATACCACGAACTCACATTAAACTGACGTGAAACAACGCTTGCGTTGTGTTTCGTTTCGTGTGAGTGAGGTTACCAAAGGTCCAATTCCAGTCTCCCCAATCCCCGAATCCCCCACAATCCTCAAATTCCCCATTATCAAAGGGCCGGTAACGAACTTGTAACGCCTCTGGTGTTTCAGGTGTCCACTGGCGGCACCGATTGCTTACAATCAGATGACACGTCTACTCGTTTACCGGCTTATCGCCTTATCCTTTTATCTGTTGAAACACCGGCTCCCGGTATAAAACACTTTATACCCGCAACTTTCAACAGACGAGAGGATAAAAAAAATTATAAAGAAGGTCAATTAATAAAGAAAATAAAAAGTAAAGCTTTTTATGTCACGTCGTCGTGATTGTGGCGTGCTGGGCACTTTTTGGCTTATTATGAACAAGCGTCACTCAAGATCCAACTAGTTAGCCAATATTGTTCATGTCAGGTAACTTATAAGTGTCTTGAAATAAGAATGTGAAAACTAGTTTTTCTGGTAGGTTACCTTGTCTTTGGAGCGGTATTAGTGGGGAGGGGCAACTCCCCCAAACTCATCCTAAACAAATATTATAAAGTCTGCTATATCCTGTTTTAAACTGACGTTAAGTTAAGGCATTGAATGTTACATTCAACAACTTGAATGAGTTGTCCTTTAGTCATTGAATCAAGTAAAAAAATACATTATTCTGGTGGTCAAAAGGTTACTCAAGTTTTAATGTTCATGGGACTTTTGTATATATACATGTTTTGACCAAGTTAAATGAATATGTGTAACCTTTTGAGCGCCAATGTCACATATACGCGACAAGCGAAAACTGTCCCTGGACGTCAACGACACAAATACATGACAGAAAAAGCGGAACCAGAAACACGAATTATTGGAATCCCTATTGTTGATACAATAGGGATTCCAATAATTCCTATTTCTTTCGTAGAAATTTGCGTGGAATTTGTGGCTTGGTGTCGAAGGCAGGTTCATGTGTTTTTGCTCTGGCGTTCAAAAGGGTAAACAATCATTCATAAGTAACAATGAATGGGAAACACAAAAGTGTCATATCAAATAAAAATAATTAAACATTGCAAGACATATTTTCTAGCTTAGACATCATTTCCTGGTGTTGCCTTTTTAGTGCTTTCAAGCGTACCATATTAAGAGTATTTCTTGCTACAAGGCCTTCCAACATGGGTCTGGACATCTGAAAAAACAAAATAAAAATTTTATTGTTTTCTTAGTAACATCTGTTTTGAAGCACCTACTACCTAACATAAAATAATGTTTTTATACCTACATGTACATAATATATATATTTATTATCTTTTGGTATATTAGATTGTATGTCAATTCGAAAATGTAGAGAATACCTAATAATAAACTAGTAGTCATAAAGTGAAATTTGTTCCAAATTTTATCCCTGATTAAAATAATTTTAAATTAATATTTTTGTGGATTTAGGTAGTCATTTAAGCATCTTTATTATTGGTTGAATTTGGGTACCATTACCTGTAATGTGTCAAAAAGAAAGAGTGTTGTAACATTTTGATATATATTTTTATTGTTAGGTAATCTACCGTCTTACCCAGATATTATGCATACTCTATATATATAGGGAGGAAAACCTTTACAAGTATATAAAACATAATTTACACTTTGATTTTTTATTCATTTCAACTGTAATGTTTAAGATTGGTTTACCTTATCAACTATATGTCCAATTGCTATAGTTCTGACTGCTGCATTATGTTGTCGGTTTATTATGTCATCAATATCATTTGTTTCCGCTTTACTGCCAAAAGCTTCATCTTCCTCCTCTTTTAGTATTGCTGGCAGTTGTGTCAATGTCTAAAATAAGTAAATACAAGTAATTGTAACAATTGATATTATCCTTCTTTAGGAACTAATATTTTTTTTGACTGAAAGTTTAACCAAATGTCATGTATAAACTCTGATTAGTGTTGATATTGTAATTAGATAGTACTTTAGATATTAGGTATATCTAACAAAGTTGCTAATACTAAAAACACTATGAATAGCAAGGTTTTTTAAGTTTAAAATGTTAATTTCTTTATAATCCACATTCATAGTCCAAATTTGACTAAATTTCATTTATCTCATATACAGATGGAGAGAATACAGGGTCTAAACGGAACACTCCATTAAACATTTAATTCCTTACTTTTATGAAAATAAAACTTGTTTTTTACCTTTATCGGCGTTTTTTGGGAGTGTTCTGTTTACACCGTGTATACATACTTTCTAACATTGTAGAACACACGCTTGCAGTTAAACCTACTCTAATCTGCCTGTTTATTAAATTTCAACTTTATTTGTCATCAAGATCATAATCTATTAACTCGTCGAGTACCGGTTTTGTAGACACAATTATAGAACAATAGGTTGCGGTCACCGGTGACCGCTTGATGTTTGACAGTTTAAAAGATGGTAGGGAGTGAGTTAATCTGCTGGTGTCTAAACCTTCTCAAGGGAAAGATCATTAATATTTAATACTAATATATTGCTTGGTAAAGAGTAAACCTAATCTGTACTTAAATACTTACCTCAAAATTGTTTGACAATAAAGGGTCATTATTATTTATAACTTCCAATTTAATTTCTTTTCTACTCTGACTTGAGCCATCATTTACGGATTGGAAACAGGTTATTTGAATCTGTGAACAAATAATAGTACATTACATGTATTATTACCAGGTTTCCTTAGCTCTATCATAATAATACCATATACATAACATAACATCACGCCTTTTATCCTCGAAGGGGTAGGCAGAGGTGCACATTATGCCACTGTACAATGTAACACCCACTACTCACTATTTATGTTATGAGTATGATGTAATAGGAGGTGAGCCTATTGCCATATACCGGGCACAATTCAAACAAACTCCGTGCTACTACTGAGAATTAAAAAAAATAAAACCCAGTAATACTTTGCCCGACCCGGGAATCGAACCCAAGACTCCTTGCCCGGCAGTCGCACTTGTGACCACTCGGCCAATGAGGCGAGGAATAATACCATATAATTTAAACATAAAAGAATTACAGAAGGAGCCTTTGTTGTCTGATCTGAGAGAAATACTGCAAATATAAGCCCAACAAAGCTGCTATCCATTCTCTGGTACATAGACTGTGTTGCAAGATCTAGAAAAGAAAATACAATAATTTAAACAAATAAAATACAAAAAAAAAGTGTTTATAATCGTAATAATATTTAATAGTTTCATGAAACTTACCGACATGTGAAGGCCACACTGTGATATGGGGGTGGGAATGGTACCATCCTACTACTCTTAGTGGCCGATTGACTTCGGCTGCTAATTCTTCAGCACGCAAAGTAGCTTGCACTAACTGCTCTTCAGATATTTCAACACGATCGGGCTTTTTATCCAAGCGTCGTAAAATTACAGAAGACACTATCGAAACCACAGTACCTTTGTTGTGTACCTGTTAAATAATCAGTTACATATGCTTAACTATTTAAACAATGACTTTGTTATTTAAATTATGTCTACAAATGTTTAGTGTACCTCCCCAATAAGAAGGCCCATAATTTCTTCTTTTTCTGTGGATAACGCATGTTGAACACAAACTAGCGCAACGTCCGAAGAAAGTAATACGTTATTTAACATATTTATAAAAAAAACTTATAATTGATACATGTATGAATATTTAATATTATTTATGAATCGGGTAATTCATTGATAACAATTTATTTTCCCATTTATGTACATTTACAACAACTGAACAAGCAACAAGCAACAACAATGAGAAAATGACACTAAATAATGAAATGACATTGACATTTGACAGTATTGATAATAAATTAGTGATGTCGAACGATGAAACTAATCTATTTAATTTACTAACTAAAATCCTTATTTGATAATGACCGAATAGATATTTTATATGTACAAAAAATACCTTCCCTAGCGCATTTTTTTTTCTAAGATGACTTGACTGCTCTTTACTTAACTGTCAAGTGTGTCAGTCAATGTCATTTGTTCCCTTCCCTCAGAGTCAATTTAGTCAATAGATAGATGTCAAACTCAAAGTCAAAAAAGAAGGTCCTCATTGCAGGCCAGTTACATTACCAAGTACTAACGCACTGATAATAGTCAAAATATTAATAATATCATCTTCAAACATTTTGTTTATTTTATATGGTTTTTTGTAAATTGTGAATTTCTATTTCCATACATAATGACAAGTGCATATGAGAAATGCACAGCCAAAGATGGAGCTCGACCTTACAAATGTTGCGACTACGCAAACAAAATTTCTTTAAATTTACATCATTTCAAAAGAGATGGAAGATTTTGTGATATAGATTTAATATCAGGTTCCACAAGAATTAAGGTAAGCTGTAAAATTATTTCGAAAGGACAATATCTATTCAATTTTATATCATATATCTATCAAGTTTTAAATTATAATATTTGCAGAATTACTTTCATGTTCCCAATTTGTTAATGGTTGAACATTTCTATAAACGAAGTAGGGTGTTAGATGGCAAATTGATTATACAGGTGATAAATAACATTCTGATAACATTTAAAGATTATACATTGTAATAAATATTAGTTTTATACTATTGCATTCAGTAATAACAAAATAGAGAAGTCATCAAAGATTAGCAGTAGTAGCAAAGAGGTCAATACTAAATTAAAATTTTGTATGTTATTTTTTTGTATTAATGTGATATAAATAAATAAAAATCTATAATATATTATTTCTCCCATGATGAGTACTTACAAGTGATATCACACTATTGACCAGACATTTATACCTACATATTGGATTAATTTTCAGGCCCATCGGGTAGTACTAGCAGCAAGCTGTGCATATTTTGATGCTATGTTTAATGTGGGTTTAGAAGAAACACAAAAGGGATATGTTGCTTTGCCAAGTGTTCCCCCTGATATACTTCCAATGATAATTGATTTTATTTATACAGGTAAAAATAGAGTACTTAAGTACCTACTTGCTTTTGGTTTAGATATACATGTGAAAGAAGAATGCCCAGAAATGTATGAAGCAAAAGTCAGAATCTATTAAAATGATTTATGTGTGGCAAGGTAGAGTATACATAATTAGTAAATCCCAAATCCAATCATTGTTTTCGATTAAACCATCACCAAGCAATAAAAAATCATGACTAATTGTATCATGATGAGTGAACGTTATACAATGTCATGATTAGGGCTTTTATACGGCTTTTTTTAACAAAATCAATTTGTAGTATGATAATCTTGAGCAATCCTGGTAGGTTTGACGAGTTTGCTTGTAATTCTCATAAATGTAATTCGTTATTTTTATTAATGGGTACTTGCGTACTAGTCAAATTCAATACTTTTTTCAAACTGTCAAAAACGATAGTTTACTATGAATTTTGTATGTGTATTGTGACGTCACATTTATTTAGAGTCAAACAGCATTAACTAATTTATTTTTTATCAAGGAAAGTACCCAATTGTATTATGTTACTGTGTTATTAATGAATGAAAGAAATGATGCTTTCATTAACTGTTTAATCCCAAAGTGTTCACCGGTGACCACTCTTCGCTAACTGCATTATAGACCTTATTTCCAATGTTTAGAGATTACTTTCGTATGAAGAAATTTTAGGGATTTTCTCAATATATTAGTAAGATAGTAACAAAAGAATATTCACGCAACCTGCCCTAAAGAATTTATACGCTGCTGGCCTATTTGGTTTTAGCTGAATCAACATCTTACTTAAATATGGTGTATTACATAAATGATTTTAATTGACTCTGAGAGTTTTTTTGGGCATTCTTAAGCTTTATGAAATGTTGGTTTATAAAAGTCTAACTAGCTAGCTACGCCCACGCGGTTTCACGCGCTGCTCGGCTCCTTTTGATGGTAGCCTAATATTTTATAGCCTATAATCAACCTCGATAAATCGACTATCAACAACAAAAAGAATTATTCAACTTAGACCAGTACTTCCGGAGATTTATGCTTTAGACAAACAAACTCTTCAACTTTATGTAATAGTATAAGATTGTTTTTTTGTAGGTGAAATAGTAATTGACAAGAGTACTGTCCAACATTTATTGATTGCTGCTGATATGCTTCAACTAAGAGAACTTGTAACAGGTTGTGGGGAGTTCCTTAGGAGAGAATTACACCACACAAATGCTCTAGGAATATTTAGGTATGTTTCATTCTTATTTTGCCGTAGTGGATAAATATGCATAGGTAAATATCTTATCAATTCTTATACTCTTTAATTCCACACCTTTGTCATGTTACGTTTTGTTTAACGTTTTTGCTCAATTTCGTTGTGAGGTCAGAGGCAGGTTGAACCGAGAGAGCGCCCTAGACAAGCACCTCATAGGCACCCCTAAATTATTTTGGCGCCCCGTCACTATTGGCAGTTATTTAAGCGCTTTATTTTGGTTCTAGTTTGTTTGCAGTGAGTAAGCAAATATGCACCTAAACCCATGGCTCATTGTATTAAAATTATGAACCATCTGTGTTATCTGATTGCAGCTTTACAATTCATTTGCATTCATGTCAATACTGTTCAGATTATATCTTCTATTTTTGTTATTATAGTATTTACTCAATTGACACTATTTCCTTTATGCTACCTGTAATTATTATAGTTTTGAATTTGTTACAAAACTATGTGACACAACAAGTACAATAATTATGCAACATTCACTACAAAATCTATCATATTCATTAGCTATGTTACTTTCCAATGAGTATGTGACAATGATCAACTATCACTTATGTAGCTTCCCATACACTGAGATTTTAGTTAATTATTATTCGTTGATACACTAATGCATTATAAAATTGCTTTCATTATATTAGGTTTGCAGAAGCTCACAACTGCATTGAATTGGTAAAAGAAGCACTAGAGCATGTTCAAGCCAACTGGAACATAGTATCTAATGGTGATGAGCTTTTAGAATTACCATTACCACAGCTAATAACATTGCTTTCTTCTGAACAATTAAAAGTTGACAGTGAAGCTCAGGTAAACACACATTTCCACTTTTGGATTAATTGTATTATTTGCTGAACATATGAAAACTTCCATCATCATACCAACCACAACATTTCCACTGCTAAACATAGCACTCCCCTACAAATAATTTATCTCCATTTTGTTAATTAAACGAAACAAACACCATAACTGATGGAAAACGTTTTCTTTTATCTTTCACTACAAAGCAAGCATCACTGCATTTGTTTTTATTATCCTAAAATGATAAAATACAATAGTTTACTCTGAATAACCTTATTTTAGGTTCTATATGCAGCACTACGATGGCTAGAGCATGAGCCAGCATGTCGCAGACGGCACTGTTTCGAAGTACTTAGTCACGTACGACTGCCACTTATTTCGCCACAAGTTTTAGATCAAGCTATCAAAAATGTACAAGATCCTTCTATTGCTGTCGCACTTAAAACAGCGAGAGTTGACATGGTAAGTTATTTCTTATTATTCACTTAGCTTTTTAATTCGCCCGGACTTTTCTCAAATATTTCCCTGAAATCATATTGCCTTTTTTTAAGAAAACTCGTCGTGGTGCCTTGGTATCTTTGTTGGTGGAACCACGTCAGCGAGCACGGCGTATATTACTTCTAGCCGGTGGTTCATGCCGAGACAAAGCTGCGCACCCGCCACTATCGACACACTACAATCAAGACAACATTCTCTCTTCTGTGCTAAAATTTGATCTACATAAACGGTAACTTTTTTTTGTAATTAAAGCAAAGTTGAACAAAGACCACCTTTGTTATTATCACAGAAATATTAAAGGAGATATGATGTGGAGTAAAAAATGTATGCAGTGAAGCCACAACTGCCCCTCCATAAAATAATTATTACACACACAGTTCTGACAAAACAATACTACGAATAAATGGACACACGCGGCATCGATAACTCAGTAATTCAAATATAAGCCTTATTCTATAAACGACAGCGCACATTCTCCTATGATTTACTCACACTAAAACAATTTGTCACTGTGTGTTAGGAGCGGGATCTACTGTCGCCGCAGTGACTTATCGATATCGATAGCTCCCGATGAATATAATTATGAATTTATTACAAAGGTTTTGGAAATAAAGTAAAAACGACATGAAACCAACAAAATATCATTTAATTATTAAAAAATAATTACAAATCAAGTTGTAGACAAGTTGTATGTAGTAATGATATAATTTGGATAAGGAGGTATCGCATTATTGGTTAATTAATGAAGTTTTAATGTTGTATATTCTATGACTGCTTTTATTAATAATACTATGTGGTTATTCATTGGGGACTGCTCTGTGAGTACAAAATTATGACTATGCATATATGTTCATTTATGAAGATTAAAGTAAAATACTATAACAATTACAAGTGAACAAAATTATAACTATTTGTAGTCGACTTTCTTGTCGATAGACTTTGATAAATCTCCACGACCACATCACTATCTCGTTCAAAGACGGCGGACCAGTGCCTTTAGCCAAACGCCACTTTAGCGCTTGTCTACAGAGAGAGTAGAAATCAAAATGTATGGGGATGACACTGACAAGTGTCAAAATTTACGTCAATTCCATATAATTTGGTTTTCTATTCTACATGTAGACAAGCGCTAAATGGCATTTGGCTACATCTGCTGAGCAGCGGACGCACCATGTGACATCACGTCTTAATGAGCGTTTCGTTACGTCACTTTTACATTGCTGGTTTAGTTACTCAGTGTCACACTAAGGTGGTTGTAAAAGAGCAATGTATTAATGTAGAAATAATACAGTCTGAGTAATATAGAAAATTAAAAATAAAGTAATAACTTGTTGTTTTTCGTGATTTTTAAGATAAATATTGTACATATTTGTTCTTACACATGATAACCGATGTCACGACTTCTACAGTTTTTGTTTTGGCTTATATTTCTGCACGAAATCACTGCACAAGACTGCATTTTATCGTTTGTTGTACGATCGCGGCTGACAACAGACTAACTCGCGGTGATGGCCATATATTCTAACATTGATCGGAACCCTCAATTGCGAGCGTCACCGACACGCCCCCTTGCCACTTCTCCTTTTTTAATATTTCTGTGGTTATTCTTATGTAAAATATTTTTCTTCAAGGATTCATTAACGTTATTAATGAAATTAATGAGATTATGTATATTTTTTCATTTAAGAGAATGGGAGGAGCTTTCACCAATGGGTATAGCACGAATCCAGCCAGGTGTGGCCACTTTAGGAGGTCGGGTTTATGCCGTCGGGGGTGAACAAGGAAGTCAAATACTTGCCAATGGTGAAGTATACGATCCTCAGGTAAGAGATTACGGTTCGATAAGTCAATTCATCGAAACTAGATTGTATTTTGTTTTAGTTCTCTATTCGGCATTTATTTTTTGGAAGGTATGAATGGTGTTAAGATTAAATATTATATAACTAAGTACTTTATTATTGTTATATTCCTGCCCTATTACATATACAAAATATAGAAAAGTTACGTTTAAAAAAAACTTTGGTAAATCTGTATTACTTCTGCCTGTTTCAGACTGATAAATGGTCAAATATTTCTCCTATGAAAGAAGCACGTTGTGAATTCGGTCTGACAGGTTGGAATGGCAATTTATATGCTTTTGGAGGCTGGGTGGGATCAGACATGGGCTCTTCTGTTGAAGTGTACGATCCAGTCGCAGATGAGTGGACGTTGGTGGGTAGAATGCCCGAGCCAAGATTCGGAATGGGAGTTATTAATTTTGAAGGTAAATAGAGTTCCCGAAAATATGGATTTCAAGTTTCAACTGTCAGGTGTTGACCCATGGATATTTGTTTTTATTTTTAGGTCTAATATACATAGTCGGTGGATGTACTCACACCTGGCGACACACAAGGGATTTATTATGTTATCATCCGGCATCTCGAAAATGGCACTCTCTGAAACCAATGCACCACGCTCGTAGTCAGGCTGCCGCGGTCGTTCTCGACAACTACTTGTACGTCATCGGCGGCAACGCGCCGAGGCGCACAGTTCTCACGTCGGTAGAACGTTACAGCTTTGATGAGGTAAGTAATAAAACATGTTTATAAAATACTGTGCCAGTTAGAAGCCAAACTTCATATTTTACAAAATTGTAATATTAAAATGGATAATGTTTTATAGGGAAATTGGGAAGAAGTTGCAAGTTTGAAGGAGGCCCGGGCCGGGTGCGCGGCGGGGGCGGCGGAGGGCGTGCTGGTGGTGGCGGGCGGCGACAGCGAGAGCGCGGGCGAGCGCGCCTTCTACCGCGCGCGCACCACGCTGGCCAGCGTCGAGCTGTACGAGCCGCGCGACAACGCTTGGCGCGCCGGCCCGCCGTTGCCGCACTCGCGCGCCGAGGCCGGCGCCGCCCTGCTCTGACCCTGCAGGTACAATCCTACACCGAACCGACAACAACAACAAGCTACGATAAATGTACAAATAATATTATATTATATATTACCCGTAATGTGTAGCTACCCGATCAATTTTATACTTAATGTAATAGGATTAAACAATCGTCCAAGTATTTATTGCAACTTTTATATTTTTCTATATGCATCTTGAAAATGTAACAATTTCTTTACTTCTGACTTATTTTATTTGTCAAATCTGACAACAAATAAACTCTTTAAAATAATGTATGTACATAAATAATATATAAGGTATAAGATTTTATTAGCTATTTTATACTCGATTAAAATAAGTATTAATCTTCCACTAAGCAAATTTTATAAGTTTGTATGTAGATACTATCATCTGTTATTTCTCGCATTAAACCAATTTTGGATATCGGTTTACAATTTATTTACGTTGCCTATTCGCTTTGTGTTTTGAAATATTTCTCGTCTAACTTGATATGGCTCGACGATACCTTTTTAATGTTGCCAACAATCGTGTTATTATTGTATTGTATATGTACATATATGTGTAATATCATGTAGTTAAATAATGAAAAAGAAAAAACATTATTTATATAAGGTGTTAATAAATTCGCTCTAAATATTTTATGAGGTTGGTGGGAATCAATAAACTGACACGTTTAGCAAAAAAAAATTAACAATTTTAACAACTTTTATTTTTAACAAAAATAAAGGAGTTGGTTAAACGTTTTTGAGCAAACCGTACGTGGGGCTGCGCTTGCGGCCCGAGCGAAGCAATGGCGCGCCGTCACCGTCCCCATGTTATCGCAATCTCTCTCTCTTTCTCCCTCTCTCCCGTTCGCTAGTTGCCCCGCTCTCTTTCCCACTTCTCTCTCTCTCGATCGCCAGTTGACCGATAGCTGTCGCGCGGGAAGGGTGTGGCCCTCAGTGTCGTTCAGTGTTGTGTCCGATCAATCGCACGCGCCATTTTTTATTGTTTGTTGTTCAATATTCAATAATGCAGTTTACGCATAGTAACCGCAAGTACTTAGACATGTTAATGTGGTACATTAGAAGTGGCGAAAATGTATCTGCAGCTCGTCAGTGGTAGTGAGATTAGAAACGCGGACGAATTAAAAATAAGCATAATAAACGCGTTTGATATTATTAAAAGTGACAGAGACACATTATTGCGAGTGAAAAACAACGTAATACGTCGCGTCGTACAAACTTGTGCATCGAACAAAGTGGAAGACACTTCCAAGTTCCAGCATCTTCTGTAAATAAGGTAGACTCTTTGTTAATACTTAGGTATCTAGAGACGGGCATTTATTCCGATGAATACTTGTAAATGATAAATACCTAAGTAACTACCAACCTACCACCTAGTACTAGTACTACTAACTACCGAAGTATTGGTTTTTGGTTGAGTTATTATTAGTATTTACCTATTCAAAAAATTGACATAATTAATCATTGTAGCTATGCTATTTTAATTATAAGCATATCAATTCAGTTAAATAACATAATCTAAACAGAGTCGTGTGGTCGTTTATTAAAATGAAACATTATTAAGTTCAGTAGTAACATAAGCGCGCGGTACCACGACATCTGCGTCAGCGCGGTCGCTCGGGGCTTCGTCGACGGCCTAGTACGCCGTACGGCGCGCATATTAGGCTGTTTACGTGTAACACAAATAGTGGAATAACTTTAGAACGGTAGCTTTTTGTTAAATTATTTTTTCGTGATTAATTATGGAATAAATGTTACAACAAAACCTTAGATTTCCTATAGTTACTTTATTAACACCTTATATATAATATAAAGCAGCTTGAAATATTAATATCTGTAGAGTAATAAACACTACAGTATAATTGCCAATTTTGTGTTACAGAAGGTAGGTACTAGGAATGGTTAGCCCAAAAATTCCTACTTTAAAAATAGTTTATTTTTTAATTAATATTAATGTATTTCCATAACTGTAACCACACACTTATAATCTCTCGGTAAAACTTAGGGATCATAGACGTAAACGTCAATAGAAGAAATATTTATGTATGTAACCATTGGCAGATATAATGTAGGTGTAATTAGATTTGCCACGCATAGTGATTTGGCCGAAAACCGAATATTCGGCAACACCACAACTTGCAATGTATTGTATGGGTTAACTGCATATACTCATTCCCTTAGATTGAAAATGGTTTACGGGTTAGAATATGGGCAATGTTCAAAATTATGAATTGGTAGCAAGATCCATAAAAGTATTGCAACTCTTTAACCTTATAAATGTGAGATTCTCTTCTCACATTCGAGAGCTGGTCTTCATTTATTATTTCTTGAACACTGTATGAATTTTATGTAGTCATAATATGTATAAATGTGAACTATTCATTCATGGTGGCACCTGAAAGTGAGAATCCTTAATTTGTTCTTTATTTGATAACTACATTTTAATGAGTTTTAAGAAGCAAATAACTGATTTATATATCTGCTATGTTTAGAAATTGCAATCACATTTCTGTCTTAGTTTTAATGCAATTACCTATTATAGCATATTGACTTGATTTCGGTCGTTAAATAAAGCATTACTATGTATTTAATTAACTACTAAGTTGTACGTTATGCACAACGCCTCGACTGAAATTCTATTAGTATATAGTACCTACAGGTCACAGTTTTTATAGCATCATTAACAATTTGCTCTAAGCTTACGATACATAATAGGTGGCAAGACTGGTCCTGTGTATATGATCGCCACAAAGGAGGCTTATTTCGACGCGAACGAAAGCAAAGCTTCGCAAAGGACATCTGACGCCAGTTTCACCATTGTTACGGTGTTTGCGTATATACACAATCATTTATACTGATAATAAGTACTGTATTCCATTGTATAATGTTATTTTCTTGATATAATCTATTCTATAATAAATGTCTCATATTTATAATAATAATGTTAGACTGTTTCCAGTATAGGACTCATCCAAAATGTACCAAAGGCTGAAAGGAATTCTTTCGATCATTCACCATTGTACAAGTTCAAAGATGTAAGATTGTAAATAGGCATTACAAGCTATATACTCGGAATTTTTCGATTCCAGATTTGACAATTTCAGTGTTGCAACGTTATGACAAGTACTAAATAGTGACGTTGCGAAATTATTCGATATGGAAATGCAATATTTCTGGATCGATTCTTCTCGTTTATAATTTTACTGCCGTAAACTAAGTATATCAGGAAATTAGATATTTCTGAGCCGATAATTTAGTTTTGAAGATTAATTAACGATCTGAGACTTTATTTTATAATTGTGTGTGAAATAAAAAAAAATGTAATCATGAAGGAACATTACAAATAAAACAGATAGATGTATTATGGTAATAAGTTATTTTATAAATTGTCGCCGTCATCGCTATCGCTATCCTGTCACTTTCTGTAACATTTATTATAAAACACACACACTGATTGTTTATCGATTTTTGTGTTCATCACTACACTATTATATGTGGTATCATTATTTCACAAAATGACAGTAGCTATTGTCAAATCTGGAATCTAATTAAAATTCTGACTATAGATATTGTTATGATTTATTTTTGGATAACTCGTTTTCTGCTTTTGAATGTGACAACTGATTTAAAACTGTCACTTTGTTTCCAATGTGACTAAATGTGTGTCAAGATAAAAAAATGTAGGTATGTAATGTCAAAAAAATTAGTCTAGCACAATATGCACCTACTTTTAACAATGCACATTTTAAAATTCGGGACGTAATTGTTTGAAGTGTGAATGATCTCCTTTTAAAATTAAAGTTTATTTTTAATTATTATGTAATGTGTTCAAATTAGTATTTACAAAATATCTACTGTCATGTATATGTATAAGATATTTTATAATATTGTAAGCTTAATTGTTGGACTGCCGCCTGCCTGGTAGCATTATTTACGTGTTATGTAATCTACGCTGGGTGATATTAATGAATCTTATATAAGTATAAATAAGAAATAAATACTATTAAATATTTTTACAATGAGATATTATTATTTAATTAAATAGAATTTACTCTACAAAGTAAATGCTGGGAACTTTGCTTCTAAAACGTGAGACATTTCTTCAGCTAAATAAAGCCGCCCTATTAATCCTTCAAACAATGACGCTGGTCTATCCGGGTGATGCAGTTCTGTGCCTAAGCGTGCCACAGCACACCATTCCATAAAGCAACAGGCTCGGTGGAGATATTCAGGTTTCTGGAAAATAAAGTTGTTATGATATTAATTTAAGGCCCAGTTCACAACGGGGGGGAATTGGCAGTTGAATCTTCCAATTTGTTAGTTAGTTACCTAACGACATGTTTCTACGTACCATTGTAGCCTGGTATAGTTGTAGGAATGCATATGCATTTCCACTCACACCATGACATATACTGTATCCCTTTGTGCTTAAGCCTCTTTGCCATACAACATCTCCACACTGCTGAGCTATTTTCATATATTTTTCTTCATCAAAAACCTGGAATGAAATGGTTTAAAAGAGTGATTCAATTAATCTTGTAAGAATTTAATGTATTTGAACCTACTGAGAATGTTATACATGATTTTATACAATTCTTATTTTTACATGGTGAGCTAAAATGCACAAAGCCACAAATCCTGGAGCGCCATGACACCATTGTACTAGTTTATCTCCCGACGTACTGCCCAAGGACGACGGGAAGTTGCCACTTTGAAAGCGCTGATTCATTAACCAGTCTAATGTTGGTTTAATGTAATTCCGTATTTCTTTTATGTTAATATATGATCGGGCCTGGAACAAGATGAAACAAAAATAATGAGCAGGTACATTAAATTGAGAATTCTTTCAATTCTTGTACCCAATTTTTCGTGTAGTGTTTGACTTACACTGGTTTCCAAATAATATCTGACAAAATATTAGGTAATGTCCTTGATTATATTAAGGATTAAAAAATCCGAGTTCAACACTTTTTCTTCCCCCTTCTTTTTTGAAGTCGGTTAATTAATATACTAAACCTAGGTGTAACAAACACTTAAAAAAAAACCGCGTCAAAATCGGTTCAGCGAATCGCGAGATAATCGCACGCAAACATACATACATACATGCAGGTCAAACTGAGAACCTTCTTTTTTAGAAGTCTGTTAATAAATAGATAGTAGTTTAAAATTTCTATTTTGAAATAAAATTGCCATTTATGTCTTAAAATATTACCTGTAACAACATGTACAGTATCCCGGCCATACCATGAGCTGCTCCAAAATACACTTTATCATGCCAGTTCCATAACAAGGGGCTCTTAGATTTTGTTGCTATGGAATAACACTTTCCGGCCATAAGTATGCTATCAATAACCTGGAAGCAGAGTTAGGTATAATTGACATAATTTTGTGCTTTCTGAAATCTGACTGTGTGCTTACACAGTCGGATTTTACTATGTTATAAACAGATTTAGTAAGTACTAGGTACATCACTAGGTAAGTAATTACTAAACCAGAAGGGACAAAAATCTAAAAAAACTGAAATGCATCTTTTTAACATTTCATTATTTTTCTTGGTACACCCAATATAAATATACAACGTACACCAATAAACTCTTTTTTTTTTTAAATAGTTACCTTTATTATATGATTCGCAGGTATTATCTCCTTTACAGAAATATGTTTGTTCACAAATAATAGTGCATATAAATATCCAGATTTTCCATATAAAAGCTCATCAGGTGATTCATTTATCAAAGAAATTAGAGACATTAGTCTGAAAAGCCAAAACAGCAAATAGTTATGCGAGTCTGTTGTCTGAGGGCAAAGGTATTTAATTCAATGTAATACTTTTCCACCCAAGATAGTCTGTTACCATAGTTACCTCCTTGAAAATGACACGGCTTTAAACAAAACCTTGTACATACATGCATTTAAGTTATTACTAAGCATCGCCAAACTGTTTGTGGGAAAATAGCACTCTTACCTTATAATATGTATTTTTATACATGTACACAATTTACTATTAGTAACTTTTACGGCAGGTACAAGCACTATAAGTACATGGCATACCGTTTTTACACCAATGCTTTTTCCATATTTTTTTAATTGTTAACTTACTAAATGATTTGTCTTTGTCTTACACAATCCAATTTTTTATACATGAATAGAGTTAAGTACTTTCTTGTTCTCTTACCGTAATAATTTGTTACCCTCTTTGTATCACATATATCTTCCTTTCGCTCTAGGTATGTTACAATATTTCTTTGTATTTATTTACTAGCTGTTGCCCGCGACTTCGTCCGCGTAGATTAATGACTTCTGACAGAATTAACCAGAATCAATTCAGTGCCCAAGTAAGATTTACCTATTTTAAAATGATTTATCGTATTTTCAATAAATAAATAATCCCGCAGGGATCTTACTAGTATAGTGCCCGATCACGTAAGGTTTGAGTAATAAAAACTATTCTATCGACTATTGTTGTACCGAATCTCTCTAGAATAAGTTCAGTGGTTAAGAGATAGAGAGTCCTGTGGCATTGGAGCATAGTTCCCGTTTCCGTGGGACTTCTGTGATAAAAACTATCATACGTTACCCAGGTAACAAATCATCGTTTTACCGAATGTAATTCAAAAAGATTCAATGATTCTAGATTTAATGACTAAGAAGACAAACTCTTATTCCCTATTTTATCCCCGTAGGGGTGGAATTTATCAAAATCCTTTCTAAGGAGATACCTATGTCATAGTAACTTTATGCATGCAAAGTCTCAGCCCGATCGGTTTAAAACTGGTAAAGTATCATACAAACTTTCACCCCCTAATGGGGTAGGGGTAATCCCCATTGGAGGTGGAAATGATCAAAATCCTTACTTGGGGATGCCTACGTCATAACATGTAGATGTTATGCCGAATTTCAACCCGATCCGTCCACTGGTTTGGGCTGTGCGTTGATACATCACTATGTCAGTCGGTCACCTTTGAATTATATACATATAAGTATATAGATAGATAAAAATAACACTTGACTAATCAAACTTACAGAGCGAACGAATAAAAATCAATCAGTGCTAGATGCGTACACCGAAATTGTTTCGGAAGCTCTGGAATTATACTTTCGCCGGTAACGAAACCATAGCGCCATCTAACTCGATCCTAATCTAACCCGCCATCTAACCCGATCGAGCGTTGAAACAATAGTGTACAATATATTTGCAAATTGTTGAGTATTGTTGCCACCATGATTTTGTGTACCTTTAACAACCTAAAATCTATAAAATATGCAATTTAATGTAAAATGGTTGGAACCAAAATTTAAAAGCGAAACATAGGTACTTAAAAAAACACAACGCTACCCTGTTTTATAAACACTCAGCGCCATCTATCGCCAAGTAGCGTAACTACTACATAGACACCAATTTCGTGTACCTTTAACAACCTAAAATCTATAAAATACACAATTCAATGTAAAATGGTAGGAACCAACACATCATTCCACAGTTTTGCTGTGCGAGGCAGGAAGCTATGTGAGAAGCGCAAAGTTGTGGCCTGCCCACCATCTATATGATGGGGATGCATATGCTGTCGTGAGGGTCGATGGCGAAAACATGCGGCAGGTATCAGGTCAAACAATTCCTCAGAGCACTCCCCATGGTATAAGCGGTAGACAATCCACAATGAAACTTCATCTCTACGTATTGCCAAAGAGTCGAGCCGGTTTGAAACATCCAGACATCCAACAATCCGAACGGCACGCCGCTGAATGCGGTCCAGAGGAAGAAGTTGGTACTGGGGTGCCCCCGCCACCAAGGAACAATGTAGGCGATAGCACGCAGCCTTGAGGGACACCTGCGTTTACAGACATCAAGTCAGAGCATTCACCGTCGACAACAACCTTAATGCTTCTGTCTGCAAGGAAGCAGGAGACCCATTTGCATAATTTCTCGGGAAGTCCGTAGGAAGAGAGCTTCGAAAGAAGCGCTCTATGCCAAACCCGATCGAAGGCCTTTGCCACGTCTAATCTTACTGCCAACGCTTCCCCCCTAGACTTGATCGGATAGGAGCTGGCAGTTAATAATGGACTCCATTATTTTCGAGAAGAGGGACGTTATGGCTATCGGTCTGTAGTTAGACGGATTAGATCGATCACCTTTTTTAGGGATCGGGTGGACTAAAGCTGTTTTCTAGGACATCGGAACTACGCCTGAGGAGCAAGAGAGCCGAAAAAGACGTATTAGAACTGGAGCCAACTCAGGGGTGCACATCTTCAAAACAATGGGTGGGATCCCATCAGGCCCGCTTGACTTATGGACGTCAAGGGATAAAAGCGCCAAACGTACCGTGCGCTGGTGGAACCGTACATCCGGCATATACCTTCCGCGCCAAGGCACAACAGGAGGCTCGCGCCCACCGTCATCCAGTGTCGAGTTGGACGCAAAGATTTTCCCCAAAAGTCGAGCCTTATCCCATGCGTTATGAGCCAACGAATCCTCACCCATGTGCAGAGGTGGAAATGAGGGCCTGCAGAAATTGCCCTCGATAGCTTTGGCGAGCGACCAGAATGAACGAGTTCCTGAAGGAAGGCGCTCAAGCCTCTCACCAATTCTACCGATGTGCTGCGACTTGGCCCCCGCAATAGCTCTTTTGAAGGACTTGGAGGCAAAGTTATACTCCTTTTTAGTGCACTGGTATTTACATCCCGTGCCACCGCCGCATTGACCCAGGCTGGGTAGGCCCCCCGCTTTCTGCGTGAGGCCTATCTGGTAGAAGCACCAAACCAGGGCCGATATCTGCCACCGACGGGGACCAGAGAAGATGGGACGAAAAGCTCCATCCCCTGCAGCACCTCATCAGCAACAGAATTGGAAGCGGCGTTGGGATCATCCTGCAAGAAGCAAACCCGCCTCCAAGGGTAGGATGCAAAAAAAGACCGCATCCCATCCCAGTCTGCCGACCTATAGTGCCATAAACGGCGACCGCGTACCTCTTGTAGTCGCGGTGTGCACGTCCAAGATACAGAGCTCCGGACAAGGCAATGGTCCGATGAGCCAAGAGGGGCTTCGACGGATACGCTGTAGCCGTCCGGGTGAGAGGTCAGCAGAAGGCCAACAGTGAAGACGTCTGGCCCTCCACATCTGGGATTCGCGTGGGCACGGTCACCAGTTGTGTCAGGCCAGAAGCAAGGGCCAAGTCGTGGACAGATCTCCCCGCGTGGTCAGTCTTCCTGGAGCAGGGCCAGTCGGCGTGATGGGCGTTGAAATCGCCAAGCAAGACCACTTTCGCTGAGGATATCTGCCCCTGCACAAGATCTACAGCCGTCTGGATGTGTTCCATGAGTCGGTCAGTCTCGCTATCACCGCTATGGGACCTATATAGGCACGCATAGACACGGGGGTCGTCGTCGTTATCTACACGCAGCCATAAGGTAGACAGGTCCCTACTACCTTCAAGATTACTGAGGCGACGAGAGTTGATATCATCCCTGACATACACGCGCACCCCGGCCCTAGGCAGGAAGGAATGTTCCAGACCATACCCAGGGTAGGTGAGGTAGGATATGTCCAACGGAAACGATATCTGCGTCTCAGTCAAAAAGAGCAAGGCCGGCTTTGCTGTCTCTAGGTGGTGACGGACAGTATTGAGGTTGGTGTGTAATCCCCTGATGTTGCAGAAGTCCACATTCAGCGTGGCAAGGGGTGCCATGGTTATTCTACTCTTGCCTCTAGCTTTGCAATGCGCAGTTTTGCCCCCCCAGAGTACGATGTGGGGCGGCCTGGACGTCCACGCTCAGGGTAGTTGAGTTCTGACATGAACGTCCAAAGAAGGATTCTCCAACGCAGTTGGTACCCTCGTGGGGTAGAAACTCTGATATCAACTGCGCCATTATGAAGGGGAGGGGGGGCTCACTCACTCGGTGAAACACAGCGCAAGCGCTGTTTCTCACCGGTTTTCTGTCGGGCCGTGGTATTACTCCGGTCGAGCCGGCCCATTCGTACCGAAGCATGGTTCTCCCACGGTAAAAATACATGCACTGTTTACGTGCAGTTTCCAGTTAAGGTTAGTACTACTACTTGTATGTCTGTGCACTGGCATCTAGTTTTATAGTGGTGCAGACCCTACTATGAATGACACGTTATTTGTATGCTTTTTTTTATTTATTTTTTAAACTGTCAAACACCAAGCGGTCACGGGTGACCGCAACCTATTGTTCTCTAATTGTGTCTATAATGACGGTACTCGACGAGTTAAGGGGGGAAAATCATCGATTGACTGCTCCCGCCTGGGTGAGGCGGGAGGAAGTGTCAGACTCTTACTGACTAAAAACCACCCCGTTCCTTCTCCTGCACGTCGAGCCGGAGCCCCGGTTACCCGTTAGGTTCTCCGCGACTCCGAATCGGCATCGGCCCTATTGGGCCCCATCTGTGGTGGTCTGATGGCTCTTTGAGGCGCGCGCGGAACGCGACGCGCCGTACGCTCGGGTCTGTTTCTGGTCGGACGGGGAGCCACCCATGCTCGCCGTCCGCAGGCCCGCGCTTACGGTGGCCGGAGATCGTCCCGCGATCCCCGACGCCCGGTGTGTCCTTCGCGATGGCTGGGTTGCGAGGAGGCAGCGCTTCGCTGCCTCACGCGTCCCGCCTCCTCCTTAGCTAGCATGACTGCTTCGCAAAAGGAGGAGACGGCATCCCAATCCCCCTCGCTCCGCATCATGGCCTGCACTAGGCCCGGACGCGAGAGGTCGCCATCGCCGATCACTTCCCTGAGGGCACGGCGGTGCTCAGCCCACGCAGGGCATTCTCCCACCGTGTGTTCCACCGTGTCCTCAGGGCGGTCCTCGCAATGATGACACCCGGGCGTTTCCTCCCGCCCCATCAGACACAGGTACCTCCCGAAACTTCCATGTCCGGTGAGGACCTGCGTCAGGCGATAGGTGAGGACGCCGTAGCGTCTCTCAAGCCACTCCTTAAAGAGGGGACTTACCGCTGCGATGGCAGCGAGCCCAATGTAAGTACACTAGGCACATGTCATCTGCATACTTCATTTTACAGGGTTCTATTATGTTAATGACACTGTTGATATGTACAATGTATCCAACTAGGTCAAAAACTGATCCGGTCGGCACGCCTAGTTGCATACTTACTTTATCTCCTGTGATTCCGTTTATTAGTGTACTTTTAAGTATCTGTTTTGCAGGTACCTTTAATTAAACCATCTGTTACTGGGACCTCTGATATGCCATTAGTATGTTATGATTCAGGGTGTCGAAGGCATTTTTGTAATCAATATAAAGAGCAACAACAAACTTACCCTCATTGAGACTGTTGTTGACATAGACTGTACATTGGGTAAGTGCAGTATTCGTGCTGCGTCCGCGACGGAACCCATGCTGCGCTTCCGATATGCCTAATGCTATGTTGTTGCTTTAAATAACTGCTTACCTGACTAATTACGGCTTTTCTGCTGGTCTATTGTAACTTTAGTTCAAATGATATCTCTGCTTGTAAATTGTTTGTATGATTACTTTTTAGGTTTGGGTAAATTTCCTTACATACAGAGATATTGATTTTGATAAGTATGTTATACAAACCTAAGTGCTAAAGTGTTATAGTCAGGTAGCTTGTGCTCAATATGTTTAGCGCCAAGTTTGTATGAAATCACAGCAGCAATAGCAAGTGGTCCAGCATCTCCACACAAGAAGCTAATTTTACGGCCTTTCAGTTTGTCAATGTCTATATAATCCAATGCAGCCTGCGGTTATAAAAAAATTAAATTGACACAGGAACGTAAGTGCATTATTTAAATGTATTTTAAGCATAACATGACTGTGTGCACAACATTTTAAACATTTAATCCGTAACCCCTGGTCTGCCAGAATGCATATGAAATCACACAATGTATTTTTGCTTCATACTCTGTGAAATCTATTTTGTTTATGACCCGTGGCAAAACTACTTGCCTTAAGTAGTTGCCTAGTGAATATGAGGTTTTTAAGTGCACTTTAGGTACATTAGAATAAATTTTAGTAACTCCAAATAAATTGTTAGAAACAATTTCATTGAAAAATATTTTTTTGTATCAAATTTAAGAAATAATATAGTAGTGGTATACAATTTTAGAATCCTCATTAAATGAGCCAACTTTGTGAGATTTGCCACTATTAATACAATACAATTTTTATTTTAGTAACTGTACTCTCTCATACTCTCTTTAAGTGCAGTCACTTAAAGAGAGAACAATTTATTAAGAATACTTGGTTCATCAAAAAATGATATTCTTTTGAAACTAAACCAGGCCAGAATTTATGATTCCATAATACTAGAGCACTACTCAAAATAATGTAAGCATCAAAAGACTGGCACAAGATATACTTTTTGGTAGATTACTCATAAGTAATTTAAAAGTTATATTAGGACTTATGTTTTTTGTAATATTTTTGGATAACTGTTGGAAGCTTGCCGATCACCTGGTGTCATTTGATTGACGACTTCAGGGACACCCTGTATAATAATAAGTACAATAAGATTCATATGCTTTCACTACCAACCTGAAGCATTTCATGATTGAAATCATTTCTTACAGAGTACATTAAGTAAAATAATGCTAGGCCCGCTGATCCAGTGTAAACTGTACCATCATGGAATATATCACGAGCCATTTCAACCTTTAGATATTGTAATTTCTCAGTTTTAAATTTTTGCAATTTTGTTTGAAACTTTTCTGATATCTACAATAAAATACAAATTAATTAAAAATAAATAATCTAAAGAACCAATAAACTCTAGCCTTATTTAAAGCTGTTTGTTTGTACACATACATAAAAACAAAAATATAATTTATAGTATAGATAGGTGATTTGAATGTCCCTAGAATAGGACACTTTAATATTATATTATTATTCTTACAAGCAATAAATTGGACAAGGACATGTTTGTTTCAAACAAAAATAACATACCCCATCTCGAGATTCATTTATGATATTAGATGCAACCTCTGCTGAATAATCTTCATATTGGTTTTCGAAAGAACCTTTCGGAGTCATGGTTTAATACTAAATTTATCTGAACTCTGCAAATAAAACACACAATTTGACTAAACAGTTTTATGTAATGTAGCTTGACTTTTGGTTACATTTTTATTCTATTCTGAATTCAGTTCGGTTTATGATTCTCTACGGAAGCAAAGCAAGGAAGTTGTTTGGGTTTGGAAAAACGCGACCAGCGGACCAAACAAACTGTCAAAACGACGGAAATTGACGGAGACGGAGACGTGCAGGCTTCTGTCAATCCGAGATGAAATCATGAAAATTAATAGAGGCGCCACATTCGTTTCGTAGCAACCCCTACAGTGCGGCCAAGTGATATTGATACTATACTAGCACACTTGCTAGCGTATTAGCTAGAAGTGAACATGAATTACTGATAACAATTTTACTGGTGAATCTAAAACATAGAAAACATTATAAATGATTTCTATAATATAATCTTATGTCTTATGTGACCTCTCAAAAGCGTTCGATTGCGTTGAACACGAGACACTTTTGCTGAAATTAGATCACTACGGGATCAGAAACACCGCACTCTGTCTAATACAGTTTTATTTAGAAGAAAGGCAATTAAAGGTTCATGTTAACGGTATTAACTCGCAGGGCTCTGGCATGAATATGGGCGTTCCCCAAGGTTCAATATTGGGTCCCTTTCTCTTTTTAGTCTATATAAATGATTTGCCATTTATATTCAAGAATGAACCGAGAATGGTGCTTTTTGCAGATGATACTTCATTAATTTTTAAAATAGATCGACGTGCTAATATCTTGACGACGTTAACAGCTCCATTCTTCGAGTGCATTAGTTCACCATTAATAATCTAGCGGTTAATGAGAAAATAACCAAATTTATTAAATTTAGTATACCAAACGTCCGAAGTAATGATTGTGATGTTGTTTTGAACGGCCAAAACTTAGAGTTTGTCGACGAGACGATATTTTTAGGCATTACATTAGACAATATCTGAGGCTATCCGAGCAATATATAACTTACGCCATTGCGAATCGCTAAGAGAATTGTTTAAAACGATAAATATCTTAACGGTGCCCTGTCAATACATATATGAAAATATAATGTATGTAAGAAAAATTAGGCAATTGTTCGAAAAAAGAAACGATATACACATTTTAATACTAGAGGCAAGAATAAGTTAGCTGTACTGCAATTCAGACTGTCCAGGGTACAGAAATCCTTCATGGGGTTATGCGTTAAATGATATAATAAAATACCAAGTAGCATACAAGATCTTAATGAAAGCAAATTTAAAACACATATCAAACGCGAATTGTGTAAATAAGCTTACTACAGATTGATTGATTATCTTGAGCATAGGAATGCTTGGCAACGTGTTCATTCGGCTCCACTGGACAATACTCAAATGTAGTCACAGTACCTAGTTCAGATTACGATAATAGGTAATTTAATACTTTGATTCCGATGAAGGCAATCTATTTTTCTTGTGGCATCGAGCATTTCTTTCTTTATTTAAACAAGAGTTTATTTTTTTATTTTTTTCTTGTATAGAAGCACTATTTTATAGCGATTGTCAGTATACATATGTGAGGACCATGTCAGAAGATCAGACAGATATTTGATTTGATCAGACAGATTTTAGTACGTTCTGTTATTTGTATGATGCGTCAGGTATGTCTTTACATTATTCTCACATGTGTGTACAATATTGGAATATGTATCAGAGCAGTGTAAAACAGACTTTTTTTTAAAAGAGTAACGAATGGAGTTTCTTGCTCGTTCTTCTCCACTCGAATCGATATTTTGGAACGAGCGCCTAGCTTTACTGACGGACAGACTGACAGACTATTATTTATTTCATATTTGTTGACGTTTCAAAAATACCAAATTATGGTTTAATTGAAATAAATGTTTTTGAGTTTTGAGTTTGAGTATTATTCTTATATTCTATACTTCTTCAGAAAATACAGTTCATTTGCAGTGCAGCAAAAGTAGAGATACCATCTTTAAGAAGTTATCGCCCTTTTTATTTATGTTTAATTGAGTTTAAATTGACTGTACGGTTGGCGTGGTGGTGAGGTAACTGGCTGCCATGTAACGTGTAACGGATTCGATTCCTGCATGGAGCAACACTGCGTGGTTAATAAATTGTTGTTTCGGATCTGGATGTCATGTGTTTGTGAAATTGTTTTTTTGTAAAAATGTACGCCACGACACAGGAGATAATCCTAGAGTGGCGAAATCGTCATCATTTAAATGTCGTAGACCGCAAGCTACTGCTTTATTAAATAGTTTCGGCCAGTGTATAAAGATCAAATAACTGTCTGTTTTCTAGATTTTAGTTTCACAGATAATAACGATATGGATAATTTAGATTAGTTTATGTATAACAATAATAATAGATGGAGCAGATGATCTGAGTAGAAAGCGGTGGTAGTTTCTTAACCGTTCAGCCACTCACATTCTCGTTGCCCCTCTGTTGCTATATTTAGCCATTTCCGGGGACCAGTCGGTGAGTTGGCGAGTCTCTGCCTACCACTTTTACGTGTAATAATTACATTGTTTTGGCAGGTGCCATAGTCATTCATAGTTTCCAAATTACCGGTCCACAGCAACCCATCCATAGTTCTACCTTTTTTTCCATTATCTACAACAGTTCCCTGAACTGTTGTAGATAAAACACTACAGAAACGTGGAAGCCGCAACAGTGCCCTGAACGCATTATTATACTGGATCTGCAGTGCATTGTACGCTCTCTGGGTGTAGTTAACCCACAGACTTCCCGTGTACAGTGAGGTGCAATACGCTTTGAACAATGTTATTTTAACTCGTCTGTACAACGAGGGAATCTGCGTATAAAATAATATGCAAGTATCAATATGATTTTCGTCTCCTGGGCTGGTGTATTCACTGTGGTGCGTCAATGTCATTAATTTTCGTGAAATGGACCATAGATATATAAAGAGACTGATGAACCTAACTCAAGAAGTTATATTCTAAGATTTTCCTTCAGATTTACCTTTATCTTCATACATCCGACCAGTATACCGTCATAATCATAAGACACTCTAGTACCCTAGTACCCTAGGATTAAAAAAAAAGTATTTAAATAATGTTTACTCTGTGTCATAGAGTAAGATAATCGGGTAGGTACTCTGTGTATTCGACTACGGCCCGTTGATTTTATCGATAGTTGCCAGCCTCCAAAACTGTTTTGTTATCTGTCAAAATATGGTTTTCGCTCCTTTTAGGTACTGAATTTCGTATGTGGGTAACATTGAAAATCAACGCATTTGGCGCATGCGTCTGACAATTTTCGGCCATATTGTTATGACGCATACAAGATCATAGGTCTCCGCCAGTGACGAGTCTTCTCGCAGTTGACGTGGCTACTACGTACCATCCCGTTCGCCCACTCCGGACGCAGCATAGACGGTGACGAGGAATACGTAACTGGTGAGTGCTTGTGAAGACAAACCTTGCGACCTGTCATGGTTACTTATATTTGGATTCACAAATTATGTATGATCCACGATATTAAGACACTCAAATCTAGTAAATATCATTAAAATATGTTGCGTATGCATTAGACGCAATAGGAAATTCCGCGTCCCATCTATGACGCGATGATTCCGTTTTAGGATTTTCAAGCCAACAAGAAACTTCCGAAAAACAGAGAGTGTTTATAATCATCGAAAGATATTGCCTTGAGCATGTCTGAAGATCAAGGAATGCACAGAAAGTTGACCTTGAATTTTAGGTGACCTTAGTGGGCATGGATGGAATGGTGGAAGAGAATGGCACTTCAACCGGTGCTGGTCCTGCGGATCCACTGGGCAGTGCAAGCTCCTCGGCGCCCGCGTCAGCACCCCACGTAGTAGCTGTCACTAGCATTGTGCAACTCACATTACCAACCCAGGCTCCATCTGCTCAGGTGTTTATTTTGTTCTTTATTTACTTGCATATTTATACATTGAAACATATCTGTTTACAATTTAGATGCGATAACTATTACATTATCCTATGTGTGCATTGATAGGTTATTAATACAGCAGAATTATGGTGAATAATCTTAACATTTCATGGCTATTTAAATTTTGTGCAATTCATTATAAAATTATCAATATTTATGATAAACTTTAGTTTTCTTAATTTATTTCTGTGTGATTTGGTTATAACCACACTGTTTATTTCATATTTATTACTCTTTGGAGAAATTTTAGATATTTATATTTTCAGGTTCAGTCTGTGATACAGCCAAACCAACAATCTGTTATTCAAACAGCATCCAATATACAATCTGTGCAGTTACCAAAAGGGAATGTGATTCTTGTTAGCAAACCAAGTTCAGTGATACACACAACACAAGGAACATTGCAAACATTGCAGGTATTGTTATTGTTTCTTTTTTATTATATTAATTTTGTGAGTCTGTTTAATAAATTGTAAGGAAAATGTTACTCCATTACCTGTATCAAACTTAAAATAACAACATCTTTTAGTTATGTGTGGTATATGAGCTTAGAAAATTTAATATTGAATTATTTGGAGCATGTTATGTTATTGCTTTGTCTTATATTTATAAGAACCAGTTCATAAATATTATCTTGGCTAGCTACTTTTTCTAATAATTTTATGAGACTTCAGCTGGTTTTTATGTGATTTAGTTATAACAAAAATTAGAGTACCTATTCTAATAAGTGAAAATATTACTGTGTTGTATATTCTTAGTAAACTAAACACTTGCTTAATAAAATCTACAGAATACCTATTTATTTATAGATTAAACCAGAACCTAACTCATTAGTCAGCACTCAAGGCCAATCCTGCAGTGATGACAGTTGTAGTGGTGATGAGAGCCCCAAGAGAAAGTACCGGGAAATGCTCACCAGGCGTCCCTCATACCGCAAAATCTTGAATGATCTTGGAGGTGCTGAAATTGCTGGTGAGTTCTCAAAACTAGATGTTTTATATAGCAAAAAGTTTAAAAAAGTATCTGGATATAAAGATTGTGCTGTGATGGTTTTTTAATATGTATTTAAGATTATATTAAGCTTTTAGGCAATCTCCTGTTAGTGATTATGAGATGGAAAGCTATATTAAAATTTCTGAAGCATGAATGTCATAAGCCTTTAGCATATTCAATTGCAGAATTTTTACATTTTATATTCACTGCATACTCAAACATTAATTGTCATTTCCACAACACAATGTACCAGAAACAATATCTTAACCCTTAGAATGCCACGTCAGTGACCAGTGCCTGACGCTAGTGGATGTTTGACTTTCACCATTTTAAACTTGGCAGTTAAAGTGTTTGAAGAACGGCAACTAGGACATATTTAAATATGTTCCCTTGTAAAATTAAGTATATTCATAATAACATTATTTTCCTTGTCAATCGGTTCGGTCATTTAGTTTCATGGGACTGTATTATTAACAATATTTTACACTCGTAATAAAAAGGTGGAATCAATTAAATCAAAATACTCATAAGTATAAGAACCTGATGATATTACAGAAAATCGCATGGGATCTAAACCAGGAAACGAGAATGAAGTGTCGCTGTCATCTTCTTTATCATTTGGTTCAGGTCAGTTATATGTGCCGCCGTTGACACTATTTGTTTCTGTGTGCAACATGTGTCACTAACCTGTTACAATGCATCATACATAACTTATTGTACATTGTGTTGGTACACAGCTCATAACCACAGCTTCAGGATTCTGCCATTATTATCATTTGTTTTAAACCTCATAAGAAGGTTGTTGTTAGGAACTTCAGTATTTCAGAGTTTAGATTTAATTCCAAACACAACTTATTATTTTTATTTACAATTCTTAGCTTATCTTCACACTATACATAAGCCTTTTGAGAACGCGTACACGCTGCGTATAAATAGTACCTATTCTCTTCTCTTATCTATATTTTCTCAAAAATATAGTATTTTCTCATAATTGATTAGTTACATATTTCCATAATTTAACGCAGCGCTTACGGAGCTACGCGTCGCATTGCTTGAACGCAGCTCGACATCTTAAAACTAGATTCAGAGGCGACTGGTAATAACTTGTTGGTTTCTAGTTTCGTTTAGTGAAGTAGTGACAACAAATTAATGATTTTACTATTTGTGTCTCTATAGTTCTTGTCTTATATTTTTTTTATTGAATGATTTGTCTCAAGTCTGTTAGAATAATATGGGTAAACAAACAAAAAGTTTAACAAACAGGTTTAGTATTTCTTTAGAGATGTCAATATCATATTAACATTTTAACATTTAAGTTTCTCATTTACCTTTTGAAGCTTGAAAGTAATATTTTAGTCATCAAATACATTCTCTAAATACACAAATAGTGGCTTTTCAAACCGCTATTCTTATATTTATTGTTTACATTACATACTATAAACCAATGTTATTAATTTAATAATTTCCAAAAAAAAAATATTATTTAACATTACAGGATATTTATTACTAGTCTAATTGTAACATATTATGTTACACATTACAATTTCAGTATAACGTATCTTGCGAATAGGCACAACAAACTAAATATCAACTAATTTCTTTTTCATGTCTGATATTATTTTGTCATAATCATCAAAATTTAGGCGAGCTGCGGTTGAGGCCGCATGCGCGGGAAGTATCTATTAATATTTTTCATAAAGAAGTTAACTGATTAATACATGTTTGAAAATTTTGAAATCAATCAGTAATAAAACATTAAATATGTTATGGTATATATAGGATTATCATAGGTATCATACGTTATATATATGTATGTAAGTTCGATTTTGATGACTAAAATATCCAACTTGTAATACTAGTGTCTAGTGTTCATAGCTAGTGACCTTGAATTGAACAATTAAGTATTCTGTTTACCTCTTTGTGCTTAATTAGACATTAATTTAATGTTTCACATCTACATGGGCTTCAATTGAAAAAATAAATAGTTGCATTTCTTACCAAGTTTATTAGTTACTGCTGCATAAAATGTTCATGGTGCAAGGAATTATGCTGATCTAGAAATCCATCTAAGTTTTCTGCGTAACCTTATTTATTAACATAAATGTGTTGTATTTTGTTTGATCACTTGTAAATGTTTATTTATAGGTTTAAATCAGTTGTAGACACATTCCGACTACAATGACGTCATCACTGGTGAGACCTGATTAATATTCCACGCGATGACGTAATTCGCGGCGAGAAGGCGTGATGACGCCATTCTTACAACTTACTAAACCCACTTTGCTTATTCATACTTATTTCCAAGAAATTTTATTTTTTATTATTATATTACTTATCACGTTACTCCGCGACTGTAGAGAAACTCTCAACCACCCGTTGAGTAATGGTGAGATCAAAATCAATTAGTCTATTTTATATAAACGGTGAAGGAAAACATCGTAATGAAACTTCGATTTATAATTTCCAATTATATGTTTGTAAACGCCATTTTACCTTGACATTGAGCAAGCGTGGTGATTAATACATTCCTTCTCTGTGTAAGAAGAGTCCTTAGTTCGATGGTGGACAATTATGGATTGGTAATGATAATAATAAGGATATAAATAATGATTAAAATAGGATACCTACGTACGTACTACGTATTAATTATATATTATTATGTGTCCTAAGAAATATAGTAACTTTGTGACTCTTTAGTCCTTGTGACATAAATTCCTTGTACATACATATTTTGTTGTTGTTTATAAAATGAATTGGTTGATATGCTGCGATCGCGGCAGCTGATCATATTGGTCATGGGTAATATCCTGGTTCGGGCAAAAAAAAAAATCTGTCTTGGTTTTATTACTGACCACTTACTGATAAAACATATTTCGATTACTACCGGCAATCCTCAATGGTTTACTAAACCAACTATATGTGCAAAGTAAGGCAACATGTGCCAAAAATTCGAATTTGAAGTTTTCGAATATTTGCTATATTTGAAATCATAATATCATAAACACATAACATGTTTAATTGATATACGTATTTCAAGGTGTACAAAGCAATTCATTCTTTAAAAAAAAAATCAGGGTTTTTAGTAGTGAAAATCTATTATTTTGTCCTCATAGATATACATAGAAAGCTATAGTGATACCCATTTGTTTTTCTCCTTTTATAACGTAATAAAACAGAGCACAATCTTTATATGGTTTTAAGTGTAATGTGAAACTTTTCTGGGTGATAATACATTAATTGGCAAAAGGTTCAAAGGTTCAGTTCAATTACATATTTTAAAAACCGTTATTAGACATGTCTTATGTTTTACAGCATTCGTTTCAATTAAATTTTGCAATTCTTTGATTATTCTGTTTTTATTTTATAGTAATTCCAGCGGGTGCTCTTCAAACTGAAAGTGGTTTACATACACTGGCTGTATCCGGAGGAGGAGCAGGCGGAGCGATAGTTCAGTACTCGACAAATCAAGACGAACATTTTTATGTTCCCGGTAAGTGTAACAATTGTTTTTATCTATTGTAGTAGAAAACAATATGTTGATAAATCAGTAAATTTTACAATACTTTCAGGTCCAATGTTAGAAGATCAGACACGTAAACGTGAATTACGGTTGTTGAAAAATCGCGAAGCAGCAAGAGAATGTCGCCGGAAGAAAAAAGAATACATAAAATGTCTAGAGAACAGAGTCGCAGTGCTTGAGAACCAAAATAAAGCACTAATAGAAGAATTAAAATCCTTAAAGGAATTATACTGTCAACAAAAGACAGAATGAGGTCCAGCTGGCTAAACGGGTGTGCTGCTGCCCTGCCACAGAGCCGATAGGCACACGTTGTTACTGTACTGTCTGTGCTAAAATGCTGCATTCGGATTGCTTGATTTGGCTATCAACTTAGTTAGAATTACAACTTTGTAATTCTGTATTTAGTAGTTGATAATGTCAAGTCAATTATTATTGTTCATGCATTGATTGATCAATCCCTTTTTTTAAAGTATTGTTAGATTTGATGTATTTGAATTGTTAATGTGTTTTGTAATTTTCTATTGTTGTTTTCATATCATTTGTTTGATTTTTATCCAGTATAATTATAACAGAACCGACACCATATTAGTAGCTATTTACGTCTCTGTTTGATTTTTATATATATTACCTGTTAATATAGGCTTATTCGTTAAATAGAATTAAAATGTCAGTCATAACTTTATTTACCATTCCAAAATGTTTTAGCATACATTTCAAGCAAGTTCGACTTGTGCCATTTTTGGGGCGGTAATGTTATTAAATCATTCTACACGACTAGGTAAATGATTTTCTAAGAGTTCAATATTGTCAATTATTTGATGCCAAGAAAATAGGTTTTTGTTCAAGATCCGTTTTTTGTCTTTTTTTTTAATATTATTTACTTGTTTATTTAATGTGGCAAATCACAATTGACTAATCTGAAAATTGTTGAAAGTCGACTTTTGAAATTGGACAATTGTATATAATTATTTTACCGATTTAAAGCTTGTGTTATTCTATAAACGGCTACATCTTGGACTATTCTTATGAAATATGTGAGTATATTCGGCACACGAGGGCGCGGCACCTGTGCTATGAGCCAAAAAGAATCTTTTGTGAGTCTATTGGGAAAATAAAAAAAAATATTTTCTATTGACGCAAATTTGAACGTTTGCCAGTGTCAATTTCATAATTTGAGTGTTTATTTTCTCAATCGACTATATCGACTATAGCACTAAAATACCATTTAGCTTATAGCCCATGCCATTTAGGTCATTTAAGCAGTGTGGGGAACAATGAATGAACAGAATGTGGCAGCAGGGCACACACCATAGTCCTTATTTTGTTTCCCTTTACTTTCTAAAATCTGATGCTAGTGTAATTAAGTGTTGCTCTTTATTTTCCCGCCACATTCTTGTACGTCTTGTGAGTTGTATATGTATACACTTATGTTTCCTAACAAGCTCTGTAATTTTTTCGTTCACATCCGTTTCCTTACTAAAAATATGTAAATAAAGACAAATTTCCTGCACCACTCACGATCATGCTGCTGCGTTCTGTATACGGTGCTAGTACTGATAATAAACAACACAACAGTATCTGGTCTAGCTCCGGTGTGCGCCGTAGCCGTTACGCATAACGTATATGTGAAAAAAATCCCAATATACTACACAAATTGTGTCAAAATGCTAAATTTCTATTTAATTGTCATAGGTGACGGGGATAAAGGACAATACGCATTAACCAGCCATGTAGCGTACTAAGAAGGATACTGTAATGGTCGCATTTATCCGAAATGCGTAATAAATAAATTAACGTCGCCAACAGACCGCTTACTACATTCAAATAAATATGCATGTCTTAAGTTGAAGGAATGGTATTGTTATCACGTATGCACGATTGCAGATATTTTAAAAGTTTTATTGTGTTTCTAACAATTGCTGGACCTAAAATAATCAACTTGGGGTTGTTTTCTAGATTTTATTTTTAATGTAGATTAATTTGAAATATTAGACACTATTTTTTCTTTTCTTACAGAATTAGATACTTATGACGATAAATATATTGATTTCAAATATTGTGTGACGTCACGATTAACTACTTTTTATAGGGAGCGGTAATGTCGCGAACTCCCACTCTTGAACTAAAATCCGTTTTGTGTATGTATTGTAACCTTATACGGCAAAATACTTGTTGAATATTTTTCGTGGTCTGATGGATTAAATAGATATTTAATTTTCATGATTTATCAACAACCCCATTGAACATGTTTAACAATATAAATATGTTGTATAAAACTAATTGTGTTGATGATGACCAGCCGTATTGGCAACTGTGCTGTTTAAATAATCTAGTGACAAGTAGATACAGTTTCAGTTTTGGCCGTTTGTAGAAGCCAGCATTTCTTGTCTAAAACTTAATTAACATGCTGCTGCTAGTTTTTGTCACATGTCTGTGATTGAAGATACTGAAGTGATAAATACATAACACTGTATAAACTGATTTTATCTTATATGTTGACACCATACAGGGTGTTTATAATGGATAAGCCAAAGTTAATATTTTTAGTTGTTTTGTGCAATATCCATATTGCAATGTACAGTTGTCTATTTTTCTTATACTAATAAAATGATACATACCTTTAAAATGAGAATAAGAATTTTGTACATTGTGTATAAATAAAGATATGTAAAAAAGAATGTATAAAAATCTGTATATATACTAGTGTAATAATGTGGATGAAAAAGTGAATTGTTTTAATCAAATACAATCAAATTTTATGTCTTACCCATTAAGAAGAATGTATTTGAGGTTCATGTTCTTATTTACTTTCCTGACTCGTTAAATTCTATCGTCCACATCATGATATACACATCATGTATTTTGTTTTTGTGAATGGGTAATTTTAGCTGACTACCAGAGTTATAATAAGATTTTATTATATTTTATTTGCCATGATTGATTTATACTACATACTTTTTGTTTTAAATATTATTCACAACAATTGAATTATTATTGAAATATGTTACATTAATGTTTGTGTGTAAATGTACTTGTTCTATGGAAGAAACTGTTATGTATTACTGATTTATCAATCATGGCAAATGATTTAGCATTAATGATAGACATTGTGGAAAGTGCCTTTACTTAGAATGAATAAAATTTATACCAACATAGCTCTTTATGTTAACTTAATGCTATTTATAAAATTAATAATATTAACTGTTTGATGTATTTATTGTTGTCTTATTATTCCAATTTACACGTTCAATTTGACAGAGATATTTATATACCCTACTAGTATTTGCCACCAGCTTTGCCCGTGTTCCCGTGGCATAAAAATGTGTCATTTCAGACTGAACTATCCCTGTTCCAAATTTTATCCCGATCCTTCCAGCCGTTTTGGCGTAATTGAGTAACAAACATACACACACAAACTTTCTCATTTATAATATAATGTAAGATATGAATATCAAAATGGTTGTATAATGTTTGACAGAGTTTAGTGCATATTATTGAAAAACCCTGTAACCGAAATAGATCCTTATGTACCTACCTACACATATTTTAAGGTATACAAACATTCTCTGACAATGTTACAGAAATTTAAATAAAGATTGAGACATAACACAAAGAATTTTAGGGCCAGGCAATATTACTTTATCTAGAGTAGGTATATTTATTTAGCTCGCTATATCCTAAAATTAGTCAAAACATCTTGCTTATAATAATATTATATACCTAATATTTTAACCCATTAAAGGTCAAATAAAAAGTACCAATATTTTTTATTAATTTTGTTTATTTTCGTAATCAACTGAGAGTATAAGAACAGTAAATGCGAGAAAAAAAATGGAAAATAGTATTTTTCATGATAATTTAGGTGTGTACTCAATTGGGTACACTGACCACCTAAGTATGAAAATTTTTAAAACACGATATTTCTACACAAAGTGTTTTAGCACTTTTTACATTGCCAACGTAGGTACTCTTGAATGACAAAGGACACATCGTAGTTGCTTTTAAATTTTTAGTGGATAGTGTCCAACTCCATTTTGCAGGATTGCACATTTCCGCCACGTAGGGTTTGATTTTGAAGTAGATTGGCGGTCAACGTAAATAATGTGAAAAAAATATCGCACTACCCTCATATAATTTATCAATATAGTTAGACAATTTTATAATAAATTAAGATAATAGGGTTACTCTACAAAAATATAAGAGATATTAAGTTTATGCGTAGAATTTTAGGTGTACTCATATGAGTACAGTGACTTCTAATGGGTTAATTCGTGATAACTTTGAACTGTGGAGAAACTGGTTACATTATATCATAATATTATAATAAAACTCAGTTTGAGTAGGGTAAAAAAATGCGGCTGATTGCAGATTACTACTACGCGTTATTATTATCAAATTACCGTACTTCTACGTATGAAACACAAGTAGAAATGTTTTATTTGCGCATTTTTGTGGAGACCTGAAAATTATGAACGTTCTGTTTATGCTTTGCTCTAAAGCATTGTGTCTAAGTTTCATTTTCATCAAACTAATAAGTAAGTATAAGTAATAGAAGTATTAACCTATTATATTATGTTACTAGTAACGGTGAGTCAGTAATCAGTACCCTACTATATAGATAACGATTTTTACTTTACTTACCTACCCAGTCCTCATATGATAGCCCTCAGGGAAGTGATCGGCGATGGCGACCTCTCGCGTCCGGGCCTAGTGCAGGCCATGATGCGGAGCGAGGGGGACTGGGATGCCGTCTCCTCCTTTTGCGAAGCAGTCATGCTAGCTAAGGAGGAGGCGGGACGCGTGAGGCAGAGAAGCGCTTCCTCCTCGCAACCCAGCCATCGCGAAGGACACACCGGGCGTCCGGGATCGCGGGACGATCTCCGGCCACCGTAAGCGCGGGCCTGTGGACGGCGAGCATGGGTGGCTCCCCGTCCGACCAGAAACAGACCCGAGCGTACGGCGCGTCGAAATTCCGCGCGCGCCTCAAAGAGCCATCAGACCACCACAGATGGGGCCTAATACGGCCGATGCCGATTCGGAGTCGCGGAGAACCTAAACGGGTAACCGGGGCTCCGACTCGACGTGCAGGAGAAGGAACGGAGTGGTTTTTAGTCAGTAAGAGTCTGACACTCCCTCCCGCCTCACCCAGGCGGGAGCAGTCATTTGATGATTTTCCCCCCTTAAAAAAAAAAGTCCTCATATTATTGACCGCCAAAATACTCGAAGAAGTTCTTGAGTTTGACAACCAAGTTTGTTTTGCTAGGAAATATTTCTGGCATAGGTATTTGTCGAGTGATTTCCGAAGAAGCGCTATGTCGTTCGAGAATTCTTAGTAATAGTATGGAGTCTAGAATTGACCAGTACCTGTTCATACTATTAGGTATAAGGTAATTAGCACATTTCAATCAAAAAAGCCAACAGCCAACCTTCAGGAATGAAGTGGCACCATAAGAAGGGGAATCATGTGTCGTTGCAGTTTTTACATAAGAATTGAATTTGCCCCATAGTTTGAAGCCACATTAGTCACTAAGTAATTCCATTGTCCAACTAACTATATAGATGAACAAAACCATGAACCACCTACCTCGAAATGGTTTTTTAATCTCCTGAAAACCTTATTCATCACTTCAACTGTTACTATATGCATCAGTATTGGAAAAATAGGATTATTGTATAACAAACACAGGTACTTACTTCACATAGAAAAGATTAAAAAATTTTTTGAACCATAAGAAATTTATTAGACATTGAATTATGACAAAATCTTTGAAATTCAGTGTAAAATTACACATGAAAAACAAGCAGTAAACACTATTAAGTATTATTAGGCTATTGATGTAGTAGACAACATATTAAATACACTTTAGTGTTATCATTTTAATTTTGTCTCTTCACTTTAAATATCAATGCAAGATTAATTCTAATCATCAAAATTCTGTGACAGCAAAAAGTTTGCAGCAAGGTTTTCATTTTTTTCACAAGCAAAATAAGCTTGGATAACCATATGTTCTGGAAAGCCCAATGCTTTTAATCTTTCAATGGCTTCTTTATCTTGAGGTGAGACTTGAGGATGTTGTACTTGCGGCACATCTATAGGATTTTCTTCAGCAACTGCACCAGCAGCTGATGGGTTTACAGGTTCATTAAGCATTCTAACAAAAGCTGACTGATGTTGGCTGATTGCTTGCAATAGTGCCGGATTAGTTTGGCCTATTTGCTGCAGCACTGCATTCAGCAAATTGGGGTTTTGTTGGATGACAGCACGCATTTGTTGGAATTGAGGCTGATCACGGAGGAAAGCCAATGGGTCCTCATCAGTGCCTTCTTCAGCATCCTGTTCTTGAAGTAACTCTTCAGGAATACCTGTTATTAAGTACTCCACTGCTCTTTCGCGGTTATTAAAGGAAGCACGTAGCGCTTGTTCAACTTGTTGTCTGTTATAACCCATGTCCATAATACTTTGCACTGTAGCTTCAAAATCAAGTTCATTAGATGCAGCCACTGGCTCAGGTTCTGCGGCTGGAGTAGGTTTAGGAACTTCTTCGGTGGTGGGCTTTGGTTTTCCATCACCACTTTCCGTTGAAGCACTTTCACCAGCTTCGGGGGCAGACGTAGTTGATGCCGGAACATCCGAAGGTTTTGGTTTCGTTACCATGATAACAATGAATTTTTTTTCATCTATGTTATAGGTACTTAATTTATCATCATCGAGCAAGATCTTTCCTGCGTAAATAAGCCTTTGATGACCAGCAACATAATCTTTACCTTTCTCAACTTCAATTTTCAGCTTGAGCGCTTTAACCGTTTCTTCTGGATCGATTTCTATTTGAAAAGTTTGCTGTTGTAATGTTTTCAGTGTCACCAACATTTTGGTAACTTTCTATAGAACTTTTAAATGATTGAGCAAGTTTTGTCCTAAATTAGATACCGAACCGACTGAATTCTGACTCGACAAAATTATGCAGTAAACATAACCTCACGGCTGTCTATCTTTGAGCGTTCGCGTTCGGATATACAATCATTTATCCAAAGACAATACTTGATTTCAGATAAAAGTTTATTTAAATGTGACTATTACGATGAATAGTCATATAGCTCATTCATTGAAATTTGAATCATATTATATATCTAGTCGGGCAAACTATGATTCCTGATTCAGACGTAATGTTTTCTTGGAATATAAAACTAAAAAACACATCGATTAGAGAAAAGTTAACCATAAACAATGAGTACGTACCACTACTGGTATGATAAGAGCTTGGCAAAAAAAAAATTTGGATAATCGTACGGTCGTACCTACCTGTGCATTTCGACCTATCTGGTTTTGATACTTGATGTCTATATTAAGAATTAAAAAAGAGAAAGTCCTATGTTCGCATGTTTTTTTTATTCATGGGAATTCATGGTCTTTTTTTGCCAAGCTATATGTACCTTTAAAAATATGGTATTATCTAACGATAATACCATATACCATAAGGGTAACCCCTTAGGAGGCGGATGGATCAAGCAAGGGCGTAGGGCGTCATACAGAAGGCATCTCTCCTTGAATCGGCACGCATCGTGTGGAGGTTTCTGTCTCAGAAGCCCTTACGATCCGGTAGCCTAACTAGACCATGCTGCCGTTACTGATCGCGGTTGGCTCCAATTCTTATATTTTTAAAATGCTATTTGTTTTTAAGTAGTAAGAATGTAATTTATATGATTATTAAATATTTTTTATGAAATAAGAAGCAAATGACGGATCACCTGATTGTAAGTGATTAGCGCATGCACCGCCCATGGACATCCGCCGCAACACCAGAGGAGTCATAGAAAATATATGTCGTAACATTATTATAAGAATTCAATAACTAAGTATTACTAGGCTTACATATCATACATTATCTAAAATCAGTGTGGGTTAATCATCTTTTTTGTATTTAAAGAGTCAAGAGTCTAGCCGGTTCACACCTTAAGAAAAAAATCCTATCTTCGGAATACAGGTACAAATTACTGCACTACTGCAGAACTTTTTTGAAAAATGCAGAGGAATCAATTTCCATTTCCCACCAAATCTGACATTTCTCTACTTGTTTGTTAGGAACTCCCTTGATGGACAACTTAAAATGCAACTGTGTTTCGATGGTCAGTTTAATATTGTGATTGTGACGAATAACTTCGACTATTTATCAATTCTTCCATTAGCTGTCAAATGCCTTTTTTATTTTACAGTCAAGA